GTATTTTAAAAATTCTACTCGTGTTTTATTTTATTATTTCTGCAAAGTGCTCTAAGTTCTACAGGTGAAAACACTAAACACGAAATGGCTGATCTCAATTTTTAAACCTTTGTTGCAGTGTGTTGATATGGGGGGTGTGTGGTAGCACACAGGATAGTTTTCTGTGTGTATTTGTGTCAACACAACTGTGTGTTATTTAGTATGTGATTAGTCATGTTTACTTTTCCAGTATATAAGATACAGATGTCTTGAGACAATCTGTAGGAAAACTTTAGTTGGATCAAGCATGATGTTTTTCCTTGAGTAATGCTTAGAAAATGTCAACTTCAAGCTAGCCTGAGGTTTTGCTTATTTAGGGCTACTCAAGCATATTATGGCATCTATCTTGGGTAACTTATTGAACCTAGGAAGAAACCTGGAGTTCATTCCTTTGCAGTCATCTAGAATATACCTTCAAATTGTCCTCTTTACTTGTTCTGGAGGTATACAGTCTGCAGCAGGCAATACAATAAAAAAAATGTTATTTATATCAATATATAAATATTGAGCAAAGTGCTCCACCTACCTGTATGGTGTCCCTCTTGCTACAAGCATTAAGGGCAGTTCCCTGTTGGAATTAATTACTCTTCATGTGGCAGGACTTGGTATGTTTGAAGCCTCATTAAATTCCTTTCTATATTCTGTAGATCAGGATATTTTCTGCCCTTTACATATCAAATCTTACATATAAGTTTTGGGCTGGCTTTAAGTGCTTTCATTAGTGTTTTAGAAGACTATCAAATGTAATAGACTACAGGATAATGAAAATTGAAGTCTTAGTTCTGCAGGCTGTAAGTAGATAGCTACTATGTTTGTTTTGAAACATCAGTTAATAATTTCAGCATTTCTTTTAGTTACCTGTTTAACTTCAAAGAACAGTTGTTTCAGCAACGTTTACTTACTTTGGACTCTTAGTATGGTAATAAAAACTGTGGTGGAGCTTGTTAAAATATGCAGGTCAGAAGTGACACCAAAATCTAATCCTAAACTTAGGTTATCATGCATTTTGATCATTAAAGTCCTGAAGACTCGCTACTGTAACCAGTGATCAAAATGGCCCAATTTCTTGACTGTGATAGTGTGTTTGTCCTGTTATCTTCCAGTTGTGTTTGCTGAGGTTTTCACCTTTGGTTACCTAGTGCTGGTGAATTGTGGTGCATGCCAGACTTCCTAGAATTTAAGATTCTGGAAGGGATTTTCCTACTAACAGTTAGGAAAATGAAGGAGTGCAGTACTACGTATTCCTATTAGTAATCAAAGGCTACATTTTGAAGAAAGCAAGATGCTGATAGTACATAGATTAAAACAAACAAACACCAGCTCCCCTCTTAGTTTTGCCCCAGGGTAATCAGAGTTCAACCTACACTTAAATATTATCTTATCAAAACAACAGAGTAATGTACTTTATCCTCATCCTCTCTTAGATTTGAAATGCAGGATGGGGTAGTAATAACTGAGCAAAACCAGCCAGACTGCAGTGCTGAAACTGTTGTATGGACTCTTCCATGGATCCTTCAAGGTGAAGAGTCTTTTCTATAAGCTAAGCAATGGTGGTGTCTGAATAGTAAAAATGTAATGGTGTTGAATTTCCATTGCAAACACTGAGATGATAATGGTATGATTTTGATTATGATAATCTTGATTCCCCTTCTTTGTAAGGCAGCTAGAGAATATGGAGAAAGAATAAGCTGCTCTTGTGAATGCATTGCAGCAGATGAGTTTTATACTCACTCTATTCCACTTAAATAGCGGAGTTTGTGCTTTTTACAGTAGCAAGTGTTATAAACAGTTCTCTTTTCTTCTAGAAGAGGTTGTTTGGGCTCTAGAAGAGGTGATTTACTCAAAATGGTCTCGGATATTGTGAGCAGGTGGTGTTGGGAAGAAATTAGCAATACTATTAGTAGGGCATAAAGTAGTTGAGAGAAAATGATAAAATTCAGTTGTTCAGTGAACTCTCTTTGTCAGTTAAGTGACTAGTTACGCAGAAATAAGAAGTAGGAGGCAGTGAGTGTCCTGATTTAAAAAATGACTGGGAATTTGGTGTCACTGGAGTGTGACTTCTGCCTTAAGGAAATTCATACCATTGTTTGAGTATGCTGTTGGGCAAGTTTCGGAGCAGTTATCAAAATAGGTTGGCATACCAATTTAACTTCCCTAGCCACACTTTATTCCCTGCCTTTTGCTATAAATAAATTACAATTTCAAACTGCTTATCTTTTATTCTAATTTACCATTATGGTAACAATAGATTCCTGCATGAAGTGTGTAGTACTGTGTTGTTCTGGAGGCCTTTATATTCCTGATATGCCGAAGTCACGTAGGACACAGACTGTTTTTTTTTTTTTTTTAAAACTATACTTTCTAACCCAAAACTGAAATGACACTTCTTTGGATAACTTGGCTACAGTATTCTGCGTGGTAGTATTCCGTGGAGTTGTTGGGACTGGTGTTATAAAACCTGTGTTTTGATGTTTTCTGCTCTTTATAATTTTCCTCTAACAAAATGAAATTAATGTGCCAAGTTAGGCAGAGAGGGAGAAAGAATAATTAGATGCAGATAAGGTAGGCTATCACATTTAATGGCAATATTATATAAATTTAATAACTATTATATGCAGTGAATGGAGAAGGAAGAGGTGGAGGGATTATAGTTTTTATTACAAACTGGAAATGTCAGGCTGTTTTTTATCTGGTGTTGATCATCAGTGTGAGGTGACCAAGAGGAGTGAAATACAGTATGAGACTGCTACCTGAGCATCTCCAGGCATCCCAGTGAGCATGTGCACAGCTGGTAGAGGAAACTCTTATCCCTCCTGCTGCTGGTAGATAAGCAAACAGCGTGAGGTCTGCTGGCCTACTGCATGGAGCCAACCACTGAGGTTGTAAATAATTGGGATATCTTTCTTTTGGTTTTTCACGTGTGAGAACATCAAAAAGTGTTGTCTCACCTGGAAAAACTGGACAGCGATGGTCTAACAATTCCAAATTCAAATGAACTAAGGAGCTGGATAGGGAGCGTAATATGGGTTTGCCTGTCACGTACAGGACAGCAGAGCACTACAGACATGTTTGAACATAAATCATCTTTACTGTGACATGTTTTATTCTTCACAAAGCTGTGTGGTAAGTTAATAGCACTGTATGTGGAAACTTCCTTCTTTTGAAGAGCTGTGGAAGCGAAAATGCTTTATGTTTTCACGTTGGATTTTACATCTAGTAAGCCTTAAACTTTCATGTGAGCTTTAACAGGACAGGAACATCTTAAACTTCCCAATTATCCCTCTGCTCAAGGAGGCAGGCAGTGTGTTTGAAACGAAGTAAACATTGACCAAATATGAGCATGAAAATAGTGAGGTGCCTGAGGTCTGATGAAAGCAAAGGAAACTGGTGATTGAACTGGTGGTGTATTCATTAGAAAAGTGAATGTAATTTGCTACACATAATCTCCAAGCTGTTTGTCACCAATATGTCTAAGCACATACATTTTCCTCTTTAACGTGGTGAGTTTTGTGGACCAGAAATGTCGTTTCTGTCTGATAATGGCTAGCAGTAAAGAACATGTGCAAACACAGGATAGTTGGTTTCATCTAGAAAAAACCAAACTCTGTTTCTACTAAATTACTATTAGAAGTTTCTAGGACTTCTTTTTTTTCTTTTTAATATAGTAAATTAATACCTGATTTTCCTTTTTTTAATCTACAGATATTTGTTAGAATAGCATGTTTTGATTATTTTCTTAAAAAAAGAAAACAACCAAAAACTGTGCAAGGTGAAAGGAACGCTATGAAATAACAGTGATTAAATTCAGAGAGGTGAAGTGATTCCTAAGTATAGGAAACTATATATTTTTTTTTTGTAATCCTGAAAACACCACCCAAGGAAAACAACTTAAGGTAGAACTACAAAACAAAACCTCAGGCAGTGTCAGTTTGTTATTGCTATATGTTATGCAGCTATGCAAACAATCCTTGTCTGCTCCTATGTAAGCAGTGTGAGAACTTGTTGAGTTGGCCTGTTGCGTTCTGTGCTGTCATACAGTCTTAAGTATGTGAATAGCTGATTTTGGGCACTTTCTTGACTGAATCTTACATTGGAGAGCCTATCTAATTCAAGGTTTGAAGAATGATGGCTAAAAAAAGCAAGTAAAAATGAGACAAGTTGTAGGGGGGATCTGAGGAATGAGATAAAAATTTACTTAGAGCCCCATCAGTCAGGGAGGAAATTCATGGGTAACTTAATTGCTGCAATGTTGTTGAAAACCCAGCAAAAGAAATTGAGTAATGAAACATTACATAGAGCTGTATTTCTGAAGGGCATAGTAGAATGGTTTCTACTGTTCTGTTTAGGCTCAAACGTTTTCTGAAACTTCAGTCAACCTTTTTCCCCTGACTGCTGCTTTCTGTCATGTCAGAGGATGAAGTTTTTGCTGCTGCAGCAGAAGTACCTGGAATACCTGGAGGATGGCAAGGTCCTGGAGGCACTTCAGGTTCTACGCTGTGAACTGACGCCTCTGAAATATAATACAGAACGCATTCATGTCCTCAGTGGGTAAGTGTTTGGACTTTGAGAGCCCTTGCACTGAAGTTTTCTGAGGAGTTCTGTGGCTTTTGATAGCTGACATTGTGAAGGCTCAAGCTGTGTTAAAGCTATTATCCTGTTGATTAATAAGCTGTAGTGAGATGTGATAAAATGCTGAGTAAAGAATGCTATTCAGTAGACAGTGTTCTGTTTCAGATGCTTGAAAACAACCTGATGATTATTTACTTTTATACTACTAGAACCCAAATTAATACATACATATGTATGGTCATCCGATCTTGAGAATTGTTAGCCAGCTACCTTATAATTGAATTAAATGGGTAAATATAATCTGTTTTGTTCTGAGATGAAAATAAGTTATTTCTACCTTCCCTAAAATCGCTTGTGTTTTGTTTTCTTTTTCTATGGCCAGTTTGTAGACATTTGTTCTAAAGAAGATGTGTTTTCCTCTGAAATAGTTTGCTGCCCTTTTTCCTATCAGTCTCAAGCTTAAGTCACCTGTTTCCAGATCAATAAGAATGTGTTAATCTATATCATGCTCAAAAGTGAAACGAATGATTCCAGAAAGACTTGGTCTGTTGGTGTGTGTGCGCTTTTTTTAAACAGGTACCTGATGTGTAGCCATGCAGATGACTTGCGTGCAAAAGCAGAGTGGGAAGGGAAAGGAACAGCTTCCAGATCTAAACTTTTGGACAAACTCCAGAGTAAGATGTTCTAGTGTTTAGCATTTCTTCTCACCTCTGTAAATCCCATATATCTTACATATCTCAGGGAATTGACTTTACCTGTGTTTACTGGTTGTTTGCTTTTCTGGTATTTCTTGGTTAATGGGGATGCCTTTAGGTGCCTTTACCCTTTGGTCTTCTGTACCTAACCTTTTGCTGTCTCTGATAAACTATTTGCAATAGAAACTCTTATTTCTTACCTCTGCTGCATGCAGTGATTTAAATGTGTGGTTCGGGGAGGGGTGTGAGTGTGGGGGGTGGGTGTGTGTGTGTTACAAATGCTTGCTGTAGCGAGAGGTGAAAACTTAAGTGTGGCCTAAAACCACTAGTGATACTAGTATTGGTTGACAGTGGTCTCATACTTCACTATGAATTAGTTTCTCCTCTCTCTTTCTTGTGGCTGTTGTAATACTGTATATCAGAGTTGTGAACCCCATGGTATTCTTTGTTTTGATAGTGTTAATAGGTAATTCCTTATGCTGATACTGTTGGCTTATAATTTTACTGATTTTTTTAAAATACTGAGTTAGCTTGTGTAAATGGTGCTTGTCCACCACAGCAACATACTCTATAACTACGGATACCTTGCATACAGCTCTGCTTTCCAGGAGTTCATGCTTCTAATTCCAGGTGTATAGCTGTAAACTCGACAAGCTGTGTACTTTATTTACTAAGGTCTTTTCCAAAAACACTCAAATCAAAGTATGCTCTTATTGTAACTTGCTTTTGATAAGTCTTTTTTTTTTTCTTTTAATGTGTTTGTTTTTTCTTCATAACTCCTGTAAAGCCTACCTACCCCCATCAGTGATGCTTCCTCCAAGGCGTTTACAGAACCTGCTCCGTCAGGCTGTGGAACTACAACGGGACCGGTGCCTATATCATAATACGAAACTAGATAGTAATCTAGATTCTGTCTCGCTGCTAATAGATCACGTTTGTAGTAGGTAAGAAACCCTCACGACTTTTAAGATGGGCAGCAGTGTGTTTCCTTTGTCTTTTAAAGTAATCTGGTTGTACCTACTGTTAGCAGGAACCTGATAACTATTCTGAGCTGGTTTAACAGGATTTTACTGGGAAGAGACAGTTCTCATTAAAGGAGTGGTGGAGGTGGAGAGTAGAGAAGGTGTGTGTGAGACATTTTGGTACCTGGATATGGAATAGTGGGGTCAGACTAAAGCTTTAAAATTTTAATCAGATGAGTATGAATAGAAGATAGTACTAGGCTAATCCTTAGCCATTTGTTTCTTGTAATTTTGGATAACCAGTCTATTTATGCATCAACATACGATTGCTGTGGTTTTTTACTGGAGAATCACTAGTATGTTATTTATCCAGACTCTGTCTTCAAGATTACTGTAATGCAGAAAGCCTATAGAAGCATACTTTTATAAACTCAACTTTCAGCTATAACTTTTAGTAGTGGACACAGGTGGTTTTAGACACAAAGGCTAAAGCAGAGGAGAAATGTGCAATAGATGTTTCTGATTTATATAATATAAAGAACTGTTTTCTCAGAATTGTGAAGCAGTAAGAATTGAATGTCTCTTATGCCTTTTTATTGGTTCTTTAGACTATGTAGATAATGTTTTTTTTGTTAACAAAATGGATGCTGCTTCTGAACCTTCAGAATGCCACACTGTAGTAGACATGAAACAGGAAGATATTTGTTTTTAACAAATGGCTGACCTGAGCAGTTTTTCTTCATCCAGCAAAATTCTGCTAAGGACCTAAAAACTCAGTGTAGCTTTTATGGAAAACTGCTGTGCATGCTGCAATAAGGGGATGAAGGCCAGAACACCTAGAAAATGAGGTTGTATAGGATACTGTTGTATGTTTGTTCGTGTAACAGGCTAACATGTGGGCTTACAGGGAAATGGTTTTCATGTTAAGGTTGGCTCATCTGAGGAAGCTAATTAAGAACTGATGAACTCAGCTGCTTTGACTTACATTCTTGTGTTTCTTGGAATGTTTTTTTAAAGATGCAGATTTCCATAGTACTTCACTGTAGGTTTTAAAATTATCATCTTTGGCACTTTGTGTATTCAAGTAACTTTTTTAGCTTGCAGTTTTGCTACATTGCATTGTTTCAGCAGTTGTGTGTGTATGTGTGTGCAGACATTTGACTGTTGCCCACTTTAAGAGCCGTAGGAAATGATCATATACTGATATTGTGGCTTCAGAAGACTAACAAACAGAGATTTAATTTTAGTCTTTAAACGAGTCCATAAATAGTATTGGGTGTTCTGTAGTGGGTTTGATGTGATTAATCAAACCCCAAAGAGCATTCAAGCTGACTGTGAAGAGCGTGGTTTACTGAAGTCAGACTAAGTAGAGCCGGATATAAAAGCTACTGCGTGCAACAAATCTGGGCTTAAATTTTACCCATCTGAATCTATTTGCTGACATGAAAGTTTGGCCATAGTTTGGGATTTTGTTTGTGATGTCTTTTATTTTTTTAACCTTAAGTAGTACCTCCTAAACTGGCATATTTGGTATATACACATACCTAGATACTCACAATTACTGTAATTAAAAAAAAAAACAACAACAACAACAAAAACCCCAACAAAAAAAATATCCAAAAAGTCCACTTGAAAATAAAGGCTTCCATTCTGTCCTCATCTCAACCTATTGTACCTACCTGTTGCAGGGTCTGAGTTCAGTGTGTGGTGTGCTGTACGTGCTGCCATGCTTGGGCATATTGAGGTGAGTTAGACAGTGGAAGCCAAATTTTGATGAAGCTGACAGAAGTAACTGTAGTCTAATAGCTTAGACAATTTAAGTCCTGTACTACTTAAATGATAGAACATTGACAACTTTCCCTTTTTTAGTTAGAACTAATCTGGTTTGGACTTATGCAGTATTTTGATTAAGCATGCTTGAATTGCACTAATAGGTAGAATGTTTAACTAAAACTTACTTTGTAAGACTGGGAGATGAATGTGAGAAACTGCTGGGAGTGAAAGCGAAGGATTTCATCTTATTGTGCCTGAGATTTTGGTAATAGAAAACTGATGTTCTTGGGGATGGTAATTTTTGGTTTTGAGAGCCTTCAGCCTTGTTGGTTATTCTGGGCTTTTCTTGTTTGTTTGGTTTTTTGTTGATGAATAAATCTTTCATTGTATGTACAGGATAAAAAGGTAGCTGGTTGGTGCTTTACTTGTAATTTTGAACTTGTGTAATACAACAACAGATAACTTTATTAGATGCTTTATTTCAGTATGTGAACAACATGATTCAGGTGTTTTGTGCTGAACAGAACATTTTGTAATGAAACACTTCAAAAAAGATAAAGAAAAACCTTAGAGCTACAATAATATCTAATTACCAAACCCAGAAACTGTTAGACAACTGGTTCTGGTTTCTTATTTCAAGACTGCTGCTATTTCCTTCTGCAGAAGGGTTATTTAATGTAGCTGTGCTGTCTTTGAAGTCAGGCTTGCTGAGTTGTATGTTCTACTAGTTTAGAGAACTTTTTGTGAGGGTGCTCTGCTCCGACTGGGTTGTGAGCAGCATAATGCAGTATTGGGATGTGTCTCCAGCAGCTATACCAACTGTTGCCCTTTTTAGGAACGTAAAAGCCATCTGAAGATAAAACTGTGTATTCCAATCTTATAACTGCTTGCTTTTCATGTCTGCAAAACCTTGGCTGCTTTTCTTAAGCTTTAAAATGCAAGAGCTGTTGTTCCATAGAGTACTTTTTTAAAATGAAATATGCTGAAAAGGCTTTCCTGGGACACAGTGTGGCCCTTGTACTTTGTATGAGTTACAGTAAAAGACTCACCTTCTAGAGCAAGTTGTTGCCCTGAGTAAAAACATTAACTTATTATAATATGGCTAAATAATAATGAAACACTCTTCCTGTAGGTGCACATGTCTGTGTAAGGGCTTGCCTACTTCCATATAGACTTCAAGGAAAACAAAGTCTTCTTTCATGGGTGGGGCTTTTTACCTTGGGTTCAGTGTTCTTCCAGTGGCAACTAGACAGTTCCTGGTCAGCTTAAAGCAGGAGCAGAACACACTTGTGTTTCTCTATAAACAAGTAAGTAGACATACCCAAGGAGCAAACTGCAGATATATATATATATATGTACATTTTGTTTATCCCCCTCTACCATAAGACAGGAAATGAGACTGTGGTTGTTCAGTGCTGCTCGATAGTCTTTAATCATGGACTAGGAAGCCTCTTCTAGTAAAAGAAAATTACCAAGAAGGTATAGACCTTTTTTTAAGCAGAACTTTTTCTAGCTTCACGTAAGAAGTAATTTTTCAGGTGTCTGTCAGCCTGGCTACCACCAAACTGTATTTTTAAACACAAACGTGAAGGAAGGAAGTTTTCTGTTCAAATGATTGGGGGGGAATGTTTGTTTCATTTCCTTTGGTGTGGGGGAACATGTTGTGTTTTTGTTGGGGGGATTTTAAGCCAGTTTATCTCCAGTTATAATTACAACTGCACATTCAAGGAGGCTGACATTACATTAGTAGCATCCTGTCCCATTAGAGTTGTGTTGCCCTGTTCTATTGGGTGCTGTAAAAACTCAGCCTAAGACTGAACCGCTTCAGGATTCCTGGAGTTCAAGAAAAAATGTCTGTGAGACTATTATTTAGTGCCTCTGAACAATGAACTTGCAGTTGTTGCAGTATTACTTATATCTGCTGTAAAAGCCTGTATTTATTTTATCTTAGCTCTGAAATTCTTAATAGAGAGCTTATAGGCAAGATGTAAATGAAATATGTCTCCAGTTTTTGCCTAACTTAATATTTTGACTGTTCTCAGTGTGTAACTAGATTATTAAATATTAGCTCTAGAGGAATGTTCTGACTCCTCTTCAGTAGTTTATCATGTAATATTTTGTTTGATAAACACAACATTTTATGAAATGATGTAGATTTTTGTGAGTTAAACTTTTCAAGCTCTATGGTATCTTGTTAGTTATGCTTAGATACTGTATATGGTACTCTGCAAAGAAAGTGAAAAATAGCACAAAGTGAAGGCAAAGAAACAACTAACTTATTACGAGGTCACATTCAAGAAGAAGAAAACTCTTACAGAAGAATCACTTCTAAAGAGTGGGCAAGATATAGCTAAGTGAGTTAGATACCTACAAAGACCTCATGTGTAATTGAAACACTGCACCTAGGGTTTAAAGAGACTTGGACTCCAGTATTTTCTGTGCTGGTACCCTCCTAATGAGGTCAGTTTTATTCCAACCTATATGAAAGCATAACAGTTTATGTGAGTGAGATAAGAATAGTTCTGCATTCTTAGACTTGGTTACAGTCACTTGATGGCTACCAGATAAGACACTTCATTCTGTACTTATTTGAAGCAGCTGTTAATAGAGGAATTTTCTGAGTTGTGTGGCCTTACATTTAAATAAGGTTTTTGGTTGGTTGGTTGGTTCTTTTTTTTTTTTTTACTAGCTTGACTTTCAAAAAAATGTCTTGCTGCTTTCTTACTAATCTGCAAATTTGTGCCTTTCTTTTCACAGGAAACAGTTCCCATGCTATACACAGCAGATACTAACGGAGCACTGTAATGAAGTGTGGTTCTGTAAATTCTCCAACGATGGCACTAAATTAGCAACAGGATCGAAGGACACAACTGTTATTATATGGCAGGTTGATCCAGTAAGTGTGCCAAGTGTTAAAATGTTTGTGACTTGTCTTTCCCCTCCCTCTCGGCTTTCTCTCGCTAGGATGAAACCATAGGACATTGGTAGGACAGGCTAACAGGTACTTGTAACCCCTTTGACTGGGTATTTCTCTGGGATGTAAGAGTCTGAAGATCCTGATCAGTGTAAATTAGTGAAGGAGGACACTTGTAAACCTGATGGTGAGTGTTAGGCTTGAACTGTAGGCAGCTTTGGGGCAGGAACTTTGTGTACTCCTAATTGGTACCACGGGGTAGAGCCTGCTATTGCCCTCCAGGGAAGATTCTCAGCTTGAAGGCCACGAGAAGCACTGGGTGAGAGTGGAAGGAGCATGGCAGTGAGGAACCTTTCTTCTAAATCACCCTTACTGAGAGTACTTCTGGGTTTTTTAAGTGACTAATTCCTTTCTGTTATCTTGCTGCTACTAGTACACTTGGATTTAAATACTCTATTGACTTCACCATTTATTACTTTATCCCTGAGTAATGAAATGGTATGTGCTAAACTAAAAATTGTATCAGTATAGTACTTCATGCTAGTCACTGTTGTAGATTTGCCTTGTCTTTAGACAAAGATTTAAACACACTGGCACGTAGAAGTATACTCATCCATTTTCTTACAGACTGCAGTTTTAGGTTTTGATAATATGGGGCACTATTTCTCTTAAAGTAGCTGTAGGATATTTCATATATTTTTCCTACTCATTTCTATTCTTACGTAAATAAAAAGATTGATTAATTTAATCTGACACTGTTTTAATTGACTCATAGAAATGATTATGAAAGTATGTCCATATATTTCATAACAATTGAAAACTGAATGAACTTGAACATATGCACACAACATTTGAAGTTGCTAATTTTTGTAAAACACTATGAGAAATGAGGTTCTTACAGTTTTTTACCAACACAACTGTACCTGGTATGTGAAATGGAAGATGAAAGGTTTTTCAGATCCGTGCTGATTTTCAGTAGGATTTGAGAGCTGAACTTAATTATTTTTTTCCATTTCAGGTTAGGAAGCCATACAGCCTGAGTCCTTTTTGGTACTAAAATGATGGAAGGACTTAAAACCCTCTCTCATGTGCATAGTTGATGTGTAGCCTGTGGACTAACAGCAACGCCATGGTTTTTTCAGGCATAAGAACTGCTGTGATTTGTGTGTTACTGGGACCAGCATGTGCTGGGCCAAGAGCTGCATATCAGCAAAGCTGACTTCTGTTATTTAGTTTGGAAATATCAGTATTTTGTTTGGTTTTGGTTTTTTAACGAACAGTAATTCTAAAGAAATTAATGATCAAGTGTTTTTTGCTGTTAACTTATCAGTTGGTTGTAGACACCCATCTTCCTTTTATATTGATGGATTTTAATACCAAACATCTTGCTTAGCACATCTTACAGTTAATTGTTAGCTGATATCTGGTTAATAAAAGCAAACAAATATTTTGTGAGTGTTTTAGGCTAACCTGTTTGAACAAGGGTTGCTAAAGAAACAAATCTCTTAAAAAATAGCTAGTGGGAAAGCAGCTTTATAGAGTTTTGTCAGTTTTTCTTTTTTTGAGTTCTTTAAAAAAGAAATTGAAACCCTTTCAAGTAGGTGGATGTCTCAATAACACTAGGCCATATAACTCAAAGGATTCATTTTCATATTTGGCAGAGCACTCTTCTCACATTTCCTGTAGCAGTTGAGAATGTCTTTTGAACTGTAAGTTTAATCAGGTTTTCAAGGCTTTAGGTATTTAGATTTATTCTAACCTGCATATATAAACTACATGGAAACATCTATTCAACACTGTCTGGGTGAGTGATGGGAGAAGACTGTTTTAAATGAACAGTATTTGTTTTTCCACACACGTCATGTGTGTAAGAATCCTTAATTTCTCCCTTTCTTTTTTTCATCACCCTTCTTGAAGTGTAATGACACTGCTTCAATGTGTTCATTTCATACCACGAATTTCTTATTTCTTTTCTCAGTTTAGACATGTAGGTGCGTCTATCTTAACCCATGTCTCTGTTTTCATTTTCGTTTGTTAATTTCAAAGTTCTTACTCAGACTCAACAGAGTTAAATAATGTCTTGAGTGAACTTGGTTTGTGCATCGATGCATCATTTGACTGTTACGCCGTGTGGCAGAATCTTTAGAGCACACAGGGTAACTACACTTGGTGTATCACCTTTCCTAGCTTGCATCTCTCTTTCTGAGAGTTCTCCTTTAACTTGCTCCTTACAAAAATCTCCTGCACTTTCAGAAAACTGTTGACAGGTTTTTGGCTTTTCAGCCAAGGAGCTCAACTGCAGACTTAAGCTGATGCTTGAATAGTTGTTTCTACATAACAAAAAATTTGGATAATGTAAGGGATAGAACTCCTGAGATTTCTTTAGGTGGTGGGTGGGAAGTAGATTGACTACATTTGGGAAAGTTTGCCTGAAATTCCACTGACTGTTGTTTTAGAGCAAAACATGGTATAGCAGTTTTGCTGTATTTGGAGAGAAGTATGAGAGCAGTATGGAAGATAGGAACAGCCACAGAGTTCTGTCATTAGAAGGGGAATATCTTATATGTCTTGCTCCTAATGAGTTTCAAGTATGCTGAAGGGACTGGCTACTTTAATTCTGTTCTAAGAAGAAATGCATTATTTGCAGACAAGCTCCAGGATGTGAGATGATGTCACATATGATTCAGTTTCCTTGCAGATCATTTTGGCTACAGACACAGCTGTGTCTAATGCAGTCCAGGAGTAGTGATTAGAATGGAAAAGGGGTCTTGAGGAGGTCCACTCATTTGCCCCTCTTTCTCTGTACTCTGAAGATTATTCTTATCTCACTTTCTTTTGAGGAATTTGCTTTTTCTCATCAGCAGAACCCTCAAAGCTGCAGGCTGGCTGAGAGTCACCAAATCCCTTGCAGCTGATCCCACAGAACAGTCCTTCAGGTCACTCTTCTTCTATTCTTCCTCTGCAGAATCAAGAGGTGCTCTGTTGATTAATACTGAAACAAAGGAAAGAGAAGGAACAATTAGAGAAATCAAGTTAGATTTTCAAATGAGTCACTCTTTTTGAAAAAAATTTGGAGATATAAGCATCTGCCATGCAGAGAAAAACCACGGGAGAGGGAGAACAATTTTGATTTCCCTTTTCCAAGAGGCTTCACAAAAATTGTCAGCAGTTTAACAAGCTCTGTTCTACTTTCTGTATATGCATGTTGTTGTCAGGAGTCAGTGCTAATACTGTACTGAAGCATGTTTCTGTATTTAGGAAGCCAATGTGTGGTTGTTTCACAGTATCTCACTGTACTATTTATCTTTATAAGCTTCTTGAAAGTCAAGTTCCTCTGACAAGGCAGCAGTAAAACAGTTGTAATATAAAGATGATACAAGATGATGCATGTGCCAAGTATGCTTCATTCACTAAATCTGGCAGAAAACAGCTTGCTGTAGGCAACACTTCAAGAACACCTCTCAAGGAAGTTTTTAAAAATATCTTTCTGTAAAACTTCTTCCTGGAGCAGCACACACAAGATACGCTCAAGTTTCTAAAAATATTGGCACTTCAAGGTTTTCCCTTGTCAGCCTACGTGAAGGTTTTGGTTCTGTCTAACTGTACCAGGCTTCCAACATGCCTTTTAAGCATGTAAAATATAGATAATATTACTTTCATATTCCAGTAGATGCAGAAAGACTTGACACTACAGAAATCTTATGTACTAAAGCAAGTGTAATGTAATGTAAAACTTTGTTCACAGTGGTATTTTGTGAGGTTTGCAGTTAGAATCACAGAAGATTAGAACAAAAATACCTACAAGTGTTCTTGTTTTGCCCTTAGAAGCTTTCCTTTCCTGGCCCTGCTCTGTAAACTGGTAGTTGCTCTTCCAGTAGGAACCTATTCATGTCTCACAGGTGTGACAAGTTGCTTAAAGTAAACTTGCTGTGCTGTACTTGGACACATTGGATATGTGAAATCTAGTAGGAGTTCATTTGCATTGTCTCAATAGTATCTCTCTTGTTCCAGGATACTCACCAGCTAAAACTACCTAAGACATTAGAAGGTCACGCGTATGGGGTCTCTTACATTGCTTGGAGTCCGGATGACAACTACCTTGTTGCCTGTGGCCCAGATGATTGTTCTGAGCTTTGGCTCTGGAATGTAGAAGTAAGTGGTGACTAAGAGTGAAAAATAAAAACGTTGTGGTCAGCCTGCTGCTTTTGTTTCAATTTCTGAATACTTCAGGTGTGAAAGAAGTAACTGCTACAAACTTGTGCGAAGGTGTTGAGTGTAAAGAAGAGATGCTGATCTCCCTGCCCCCCTTTTAATTTGAAAAAATAATTATGGCAGCCTACAAATTCTGTACTCAGTTTGTACAGAACTGAAATTAGAGTTCAAGTCTAAGTGCCTGGGATTGTGCAGCAATTCTGGTGTATATAGTTATGGATCTTTTCTGAGGAGGGATGGCGTAAATGCATAGAACCTTAAAGAGGTTTTGAAGAGAGGGACAGCAAATTAATCAAGAGAAGCAGAGGGCAGAAATATCATCGAAGGGAAGCAATTGCTCATTGATGATTTTAACAAGCAGCAAAAGTAAGATCCACAGAGGCTTAAATTTATGATTTCAGAACTTTGTCTTTCAGTCAGACACTAGGGCATTTTGCCATTTCCTTTATGAATTTGCAAATCCCTTTTTGCTGTTGAATTTTATGGGCACTTGAGTTGATATAAAAGCTTCCCTTGCCTCAGTTGTGAGCTGTATAGTCTTTCTTGTGCTGTCTTGGACTCTGAACTAATTCAGTTTCCTAAAACAAAAATGTTCCCTTTTTTCACCCTTGGAACACTTTTCTTCTGTTTAATTGACTAAATTGGCTCAGTGAAAAGCACTAGAGCTGGCACAAGGGAATAGAGAGAAGCCCTTACTGTTCTGACAATGGTAAGCTACTCATTGGTGTTCTGTCTTGTGAAACGGTAGCATTATACACTAGGGATGAAAGCTGAATTTTGGCCTGGAGAGCTTCAGCTCGGGGAGGAAAACATCTAAATACTGATACTCCTAGCTTCTTACCGAAATGTATTTTGTCATCTGTCTTTTACTCCTATAGTCTCCTTCTCTCATTTTCAGTGTTTGTTTGTTTTTTTTCATTTGATAGTGCTTCTCTTGCTCCTGACTTGTTCTTGTAATTTCTTTTCATTCGACGCTCATAATATTTCAGTTGTCTGATACACCATCTCTGTTGACTTGAGGGACAAAAGAAATTGTCCCAAATAAAGTCCAAAATCACTGGAGATGCTAAAGTAGTACTGCCTTCTTACTGCATTATTGATTGGTTAGTATTGCTTTTTAATAAACATGTTGAAGTACATGCACTACCAAACACTACACGTGTCAGATAAAATTATCAGTGCCATTTTGGGAAAGGGTTCTGGTATAAGACCTTGCTACCTTTATTTTACAGACTGGGGAGCTGAAGACAAAGATGAGCCAGTCTCATGAAGACAGTTTAACAAGCGTGGCCTGGAATCCTGATGGGAAGCGTTTTGTAACGGGAGGTCAGCGTGGACAGTTCTATCAGTGTGTAAGTTCTCTGCCTCTGTCCCATTGAAAACAAAGCAAGAAATTAAATTTTGGTCAAATCTGAGGTTCGTATTTTTTGCAGGTTTTTCATGTGTGTGTACACTAAAGCTTCCGATCCTTTGTAATTGAAAGAAGCAATACGTTAATGCAAGTATTTCAGCAGCACTTCTGTGTGTAGCAGTTCGAAGGGTTTGAGCATTTTTGGTCTGCCTAAAGGAGGATTTGTGGTGTGGGAATTTTTTCTTAGCTTCTCCAGAAAATACACTAATAAAAAGTAGTGCTTTTGTCCACAAATGTTATTTATTCCATAGAATTTTGACTACATCTTTCTTAGTTTTTGCATGCTGTCTTTGCTCGTGTAAACAGGAGTTTGAAATTCTCGTTATCTGAGTAGTGTTGATTTTGGATGGTGGTCCACAGTCTCACCCTGTTCTTGATTATTTGCCATCTGACTTGGTGCCTGGAATAATAGCGCAGTATGTAAACCTCACTCACTGCAAAGGTCAGCTCAGTGATGTGGTGTAGATGGCACATGTCATGCACGAGAAAATAAGTGATAAAAGGGATTCTCAGCTCTCCAGGGCAGATTCCTACAGAAGCCCTCAGTTATGACAACCAAGCCCTCCCTTTTAAAGGGTGAGATTGCTTTCTGTAGCAGTTTTCTGAACAGAAGGTGAAAAAGATGTGTCACAACTCCTCAGAGATCTGAGACTAATGGTTCATTTTTTTTTCCTTGTTTGTGTCTTTTTTTTCTTCTTTTGATCAGGATTTAGATGGTAATCTCCTTGACTCCTGGGAAGGGGTGAGAGTACAATGCCTTTGGTGCTTGAGTGATGGGAAAACTGTTCTAGCATCGGACACACACCAGCGAATTCGGGGTTATAACTTTGAGGATCTCACAGACAGGAACATGTAACTACTACTTCTTTCTTTGGTTTTGAATTCCTGCTTCTTAGTGTCAGAAGAAGGTTGAGGAAGGGTTTGGGGGGCAGGATGGGAAACAAATTATTAAAATGCTCTCAGTATTAAAAGAAGACAAGAATAGCATGGGACAAGAACTAGTAAGTTCCAGCAAGCAGCATTAGATCAAGTATTAGAAATAACTTCTAAGCACTTGAGTGGATGTGTTGACATTTCTGTCATCAAGAGTTGTAGTCCTCTCAATTCCTGGCATGTTTTAGAGGATTCTGCCTTGAATTTAGGAGTTGAAGTCTGAAGTCTCTTGGTCTTGGGATTTACCATAAATATAAGCAAGCTATTGCAGACCTGGCTTGTACTGATGTATAAAGATATACCTAATTTCAAATTCAGAATTATTTTTTCCGATAATACTGCAGATACAGGACATGCCTTTTACCTTGGTGTTGCATCATTATCTAGTTATCTTGACACTTGTGTCCTGTCATTTCAGAGTACAAGAAGATCACCCTATTATGTCGTTTACTATTTCAAAAAATGGCCGTTTAGCTTTGTTAAATGTAGCAACTCAGGTGAGTTGGTGATGTTGAATAGAAATGCAAATAAATCTTGCAAATGCTTCCTGTTCTTAAATATTTTGATGTGAGTTGGGATATTCGGTATTAATCAGTTGTATATCATGTAATATGAAGGCCTTAATGTTCATAGGTAGAGCATGGAATTTTCTGAAAATAAGCCAATTATTCTTGAGACTGAATTTTTTTTTTTTGACTGATTTATACTCAGGAGTTTCATGTTGTGAAATATGTACTGCTAAATGTTATTTAACTGGCTTTTGCATCAGAAGGCTAGGTACAGCAAGAATTGTGGCAGGTGAAAAAGTCTAGGGGCATGAGAATTATATTTTATTTATCTGATTCTGCTTTTGGAACCTTGGATAAGAATAGGAGCTTTCAGAATGGAAGGGACGAAAGGCTGAAAGTTTAGTTTAGTATTTTGATACATCTTTACTGTCTTTATCTAGTAACAGTACTGAGGTTGGCTCTGAAGTAGTGTACTTTCATGTTTAATTTTTTTCTCATAGTTCAAAAAAATGCCATTAATAATGTTTATGATGAAACTCCTTATATTTATTATTTCCAGGGAGTTCACTTGTGGGACTTACAAGACAGAGTTTTAGTGAGAAAGTATCAAGGTGTTACACAAGGATTCTACACAATTCACTCGTGTTTCGGAGGTCATAATGAAGATTTCATCGCGAGTGGTAGTGAAGGTAACACCATTCTCCCTTCTGCAGAAAACTGGAAGGCTATATCCTTCCTATACCTTCATTTTGTCAGTAATAGTTGCTAACAACATTATAAAAGCAAGCAAACTGGTTCATGAAATAAATTTGAGGTGTGCTGAGATTGAGGCATACTTCAAGAAGTAATTGTGGGCTAGCAGAAAGAATCTTCTGAGAGGATGGTACTAGTAGAAAGCATTAATGACTCTTTGGTGTTGCTCCTCTAAAGCAAAAGCATCTGCACAATTTTAATTAAAAGTGGGTGAGGTGTTCTTGAGGATTTTTCTTTTTGTGGTGTGATATTTAGACTTATGGTTTGAACAAAAAGTACTCCTGGGGAATAACAGCTTCATTTGCCTGTTGAAGATACAGGTGTGGTGAGGTTATTTTAATTTCAGTAGTCATTCTAATTGCAGACAGTAGTCTCAAATTAAGCAGTTGTTGACGTAGTCTGGTAGGGTTTCTTGGTGATCAAAGGCTTTGTGGTGTGTTTTTATTCAACTGTCTGTGGCAAGAGCAGAAATTTGTTAAAGGTTTATATCTTGAATTGGTTCAGTTCTGTCACTATAGTGCAGTCACCTGCCATGTAGGTCACTTAAAATTCAAGCTTATGCAGGACTAAGAATTACTCTTGGAATATGTCAACAATCACTGTGAGTGCTATGTAACTAGGATGTTGGGAAACACTGCTATTCTTTTTGGAAAATACCAAATACGTCTAAAATAAAACCAGGTTTCACCCTCTGAGCATATCCAGTCGAATATGACTGAAGGACAGCACCTCTAGTCTTCTAGTCCAGTGTGAACCTCTTCTGATGGGTGAACAAGCTTCTTGGTTTGAGACCCGAGTATCCAAAAGTTCAGGATTTGTTTAGCCATAACTATGTGTAGGTATAGATACTGTAGTGCACCAGTCCTTTTTTCCCCCATTTATTTATTCTTTATTATCTTCTTTGTCTAAAAACTACTGAGCAGTAGTTGAAACTGATGGTACGTTATCTACTTAGACTTGAACTCTTTCAAGCTCTTGCCTCTTTGTACTGAAGTTGCAAATGGGACTACTGAGAAAGTCCTGTTTTAAAAAATAACAGATCACATTGTCATAGTCTCTTTTAAAGTAATTGATTACATTGTAATACATCTTAAAGCATATTGTCAGCTAGGTAGGGGTTTTTCTCACCATTGCATCAATAGGAAGAAAATAGAGGTCTCTGAGAGGGAGATTGACTGCTGCCTTAATGTAGCTAACTTGTTTTTTCCAAACCAAAATACTGGTATGTGTTTAGGCAGAGTGTGAGCAGAGTGTGACTTGTGTTGTTTGGTGTTGGTTGCATGGATATGTAGTCTCTTGCAATGGTTAAGTGGAGTGTAAGCACAACCAGAACATTTGTGTCGATATGAGTACATGTAAAGGTGGTACACTGAAGTGAGCTGGCTCAGCAGAAGACAGTTGTTACCACATGGTCCATGATGCTTTTCTAGCAGGTAGGTCAGAGAGCAAGTTTATTTTATAAGGGGTTGGGAGGAGGAACAGAGGAAGATTGGTTTGTTTGCGAACAGCCTTCAGAGTGACATCTACATTAAAGCCTTTCAAATAGATTAAAATACTTCCATTTGATATGCTAGACGTGAATACCAGGCTTTTGTGTAATACTTGCAATACATACTAGTTCAGTTTGTGCAGCTCTGCTTGGAATATTCCACAGACATTACTAGACAGGTAAACCCACAGCCTTGTTACAGGATGCTAGTCTACAGCTGGGACACACTCCCACCCTCAATTTATTCTGAACTGTGGCTGGCTATAAAGCCAAATACACTTGTCTAGAAATTGCAGTAGAGTGTCTAACCAGTTTGCTATTCTATTTCAGGGATGTTGCTAGAAGTAATTTAAAACTTCCCATCACAAAATAAGATCTGTAGGGTTGTTTATTGCACCTGCTTTAATATGTGCAAATTGATATCTCTAAATACCACACAATAATTGTTAAAGACAGTAATAGCTCACAATTTGAGCCATTAAGTTTTTCCCTCCCTCATTTGCTCTGTTTGCACTTTCACTGGAGTGTTGCAGGTCTTTAGTATTAAGATGTTTTTCATAAACTATAGAGCTGTGATCTTATCTAGCAGTCATTAACGGGAAGTACTTATAAGGAGGTCTTGGTACTCATAACTTTATAATACCTTTACTAATCTGTAAATACAATTATTTGAGGGGAGAAAAAAAATCAAATCTTCCTTTTGAATAAGATTACAACTCCAAGATTAGCTTGGTTTCTCTCTTTAGCCGTGTATTCTCTTATTTGCATTGTAAAACATTGTAGTCAGATGTTTTTCTTCAAATACCTAGTATAGTAGACCTGCAGGTGTTAATGGAAGAGCTTGACCTGTATTCTTTTGATTGCTTTTAGAATAAAAATTTTGTTAGTGCTATTGCACACTTGGGACATGGGTTTTAGGCACAGGTTTTGCAACATTAATGAGAGCCGAGTTGCTGAGAGCTTGTGTGGAAGTGCTGTTTGATACAACAAATCAGCCTGTGCAGGACAGTGTTTCTCAGTCTTCTTTAAATGTGTGTTTTGTGTAGATCACAAAGTATATATCTGGCACAAGCGTAGTGAGCTGCCGATTGCGGAGCTGACGGGGCACACACGTACAGTCAATTGTGTGAGCTGGAACCCGCAGATTCCATCCATGATGGCCAGCGCCTCCGACGATGGCACTGTTAGAATATGGGGACCAGCGCCTTTCGTAGACAACCAGGATATTGAAGGTAAAAACCTGTGTGTTTACTTAAAAAGAAGTTACTGGGGTTTTTGTTTGGTGTGGTTTTTTGGGGTTTGTGTTTTTTTTTTGTTTTTTTTGTTTTTTTAGTGTATGACTGTTGATTTTTATCTAAATTATTTATGCTGTGGAATAAAAAGGAAAGAACTGGTATTTCTAAAATTATTCTGACATGGCCCTATAGAAGAAAACTGTGGTCTCACTGAGACCTCAGGATTATATTAACTTATTTATGTAGACATCTTAAAAATCTTGCCTCCAATGCTTTAAGGTTTAATAACGTAAAATGTTATTAAAATTTAAATAATGCATTATAATCACACTGCAAGTTGAATAATGGTATTACAATGCTTACAAAACGAATCTCCAAAGTCTGGAGAGAGTGTGGAGTTTTCCCTAGGAATACATCTAGAAAACTGAACCTTTACTAAACCATCTACTAAACTACATGTGTCCAGGAGAGAGAACGCTTGTTTTTGTGCTGTCAAAATGTGCATGTGTTCCCAGCCCTTCTTGCCTCCCCCAGGACTGTTAATGAGATGACTGCTGGGGAGTTGTTCTGCAGTTTATATGCATCTTACTACCAGGTTGAATATGTATTTGCAGTGGATATTAAAAAGAAGTACAGTATATCCTATTGCCACAGGACCTAATGAATACTGGGTGTGGATATAAGTTCAAGAGGAACCTGGGCAGAGTAATCAAAAAGAAATTCATTTAGTGCTACTAGAGAAGTAAACACCTCTAGTTCAGAATGTCCCCTAAGTAAAAATGGCTGAAAATTGGAAGGATATTAGGAGGAAGAATTACCTCTTCTCCCTACACACTTGTGCTTTCTGACATATCTGCTTCCAGTCTCGAACTAGGTGGACCAGTTTGGCTAATCTGTTTGTAACACCTGGAATGTACCTTCAGAACCTGTCCACCAGTTGGTTTTACTCATGGTTTTGTTGTTTGGTTTTCTCTAGTTAGTGGCTTGCTCACTCTTTCTTAGTTCTTACAGAAAATGAACTAATAAATGCCATAAATACCAAAACAACAGAAAATAGATTTCTCACAGCAATGCTTTTGCAAGAGGTATAGGTGCACAGAGTAATACCTAACAACTTAGGAATCTTAAATGGGTAGCAAGACAGCTTTGTAATTAGAACACTCCCCTGGAACTCAAATGCAAATGTGTTACTTTTCTTTGGAACAGAGGCTTTTTGAGTACCCACACTTAACATGCTAAATTAATTTCTAGATTGATATTAATAATTTTATCTAAAATAAGTAATTTTTAGCATGGAATTTAGCTACAGTATGAGCTAAATTAACCTAATGCATGTTCAGTAAAATTATGTAAATACACTGTACCTGCAATTACCTTATAACAGAAATATTAACTATTGCTAAGATCTTCCAGCTGTGATTTCTTTCTCTTTATGTTTTTGTTTTTTGCTCAGAGGAATGCAGTAGCATGGATAGTTGATGGCGAATTTGGAGCAGACGACTTCAGTTTAACTTAATTAGTCGTATTTTAAATGGCTTGGGATTTGGTGCAAACAAACATGATTGATAGCTGGACAGACATGCTCGTCATGAAAAAGAACCATTTCTGAAGCCCGGTTGGGGCCAAACATTTACCACCTTGCTTCATAGTAACCAGTCGAGATGAAGCACGTCCTTAGAACTTTGTTGGACACCGTGTTGAAATTACCCCCCCATCGGTTGTGAAGAACTGTGCTACATTCAGGCTAACCATTGAACTCAGTATATATATTTTTCCCTCCTGCCTTTTTGTCTGGCAGGCTACTGTTCTTGTTGCTCTTCTGTGTAATGAAGTTTAAATGCTTGTTTGGAACACTTTATTTAACAGTTTAGAAGGCTTGATAGAAAGAGTGCTTTAGTCTGAAGAGTATACATTGGATAGGAAAGTATTTCCTTCTCTTGTTTCTCAAGTCTCTCTCCGCCTTACTTAGCTTGAGATCTTTGCAGCTTGGTTCATGGATTCTAGCCTTGCCCGTTGCGCAGTATATATATAAATTGAGATGATAAACCAATGAACAATGTCAAAAGCACTCTCAGTATCACATTTGACAAAAAGTTTTGTACTTTTCACATAGCTCGTTGCCCTGCAAAGGGGTTAACAGCACAATTTTTTAAAAATAAATTATTTATAGGATTAAAATGACTTCATTTGTATACATTTGGAATTAAAACAATGCAAGAAGTGTCATGAAACACGGTATCACTGATGCTTTTCTGGAGTGTCTTGAGACCCAATCAGAAGCAGTGGCTGGAAGGAGCTTTGTGTAGGCAGTGAAGCTTGTTTTAGATGGAGGAACTCACTGTCCATCTTAACAGATAAATTGTATTATTTAGGAAAAAAAAAAGGATGTTCAGACTGCACCACCAGACTAAGTTTAAACAAGGAAAGGTCTTTTTGGGTTTTTTTAAATTACATAAATATATGCAACAACGCTGTTGTAAAAGGTAGACTGCACTTCAAGGGAGGAGTGTGTTGAAAGGTCCTTTCTTCACAAAGTCAACATTTTGTATAAGTAATTAACATACAAATCATAATTAAACACTTGTATTACGATGGAAATTTTTCTTTATTTGATAAACAAAGGTGTATAGATTTCTGTGTTGAGAATATACTTTTAAGTTTATGGATTTAAATGCCCCTCCCAGACCTTGTTGCAAGCTGGTGCTGTAAACAACTTGACACATCTAGGAATAGTTCCACTAATATCCCATGTTAAGGAAAAAACAGAGACATTTATAATTTAAATATTTATTCTTTTTGGTGTAAACAGATGGCCTGGCATCTCTGTGCTTCTGCACTACACACAAATTCATTATGGGATGGCACTGGATTCCCTTTTGCCACCGTGGGTGGAAAGGTAGTGTTGGTACTGCTGCGAAGTAAAGAGGGAGCAGGGAAGGGCATGCCATGCAGTCGTGTGAACAGAGGTGTGGACTTCATCCTTTAATGAGATAATAATCTAGTGTTCTTATTAGTCATGTGTGGAAGAAGGATGGGGGAAGGTTTGCCGGAATTCCTGGGAAAAGTGTAGCCACTTTGATGAATGGGAATGTGGTATTTCCCAGAAAACCAAAGTGAAGGTTAGATTTATTTTTTTTTCTTTTTAGATTCCAGCCAGGTGGTTGGTGTTTTTCTTGCCTTGTGTGCAAACTTACGTGTGAGTTAAGATTCTGATACTATGGTTGAGACCAGCCCCAAATCTGACCTTAGTCTTTCAGTACCTCCAAAACCAGGTAGGAACTTAATGTTCTTATCTGCAGTCTACAGTACATCAGCCTTAAAGTTAAGGTGAATGCTTTGATAGCAATTACTGTTCCACAGTACTGGGAATACATATGTGAACTTGACACTATAAATCATTTCCCCCTTCCATGAATTAGTTCTGGAGGAAGCTCTTTGTTTCTCTTCCTAGGTCAGACAGTGTAGGATTAGTCAGGCTTGTTCCTATGGTGTTGGTGTTGCAGGGAAACAGACAAGTTCCGAAGATCAAATTTGAGTAAGCCAAACCTTTGGGTTTTAAAGAAAAATTAACTACCTAAATTGTAAACAGTGTGTTACATGTTCAAAGCACGGTATAATTCGTAAGCAATGCCAGTATGTGAAGCTTTGGAAGTTATTCTAGTATTGTCTTACTCTGGAACTTGTGTTTTCAAACCAAACATTGTTTAGGGAGATTAAGGAGAGTAATGGTTTTGATGTCTTTTAATAATGTCTCATACAATGGTCTGGCACTACTTGCTTACCTCATGGGAATAAAGTGGGAACTCTAGGGAGGTGGTGAAGGCTGGATCAAATCTCAAGTGGAGATTTAAATTCTCATATGCACTTCAACAGGCATTTTTAATGTGGTGGCCATAACTAATCAGAGTGGGACTCCTTACGTGGCACAAGCTGTGTGGGGGTGTGTGTGTGCTGGTGCCTGGTTTCCACTGCAATGAAATTAGAAATTTAAACCTAGTACTTCTGCCCAAATACTGCCTGTCTCTTCAGTACTTGGTTTGTACCCATAAAGGACACTTCAGGTATTACGAAGCAGAGTTAGGGAGAGGCATGTGTTCCGAACTCTCTCCTTTAGTGTCGTGGTGCAGCCATGCCATGTAAAGGAAAGCTCCAAGCAGATGGCACTGCTTCCAGAGTGTCTCAGTCACAGGTGTTGCATCGCTGTCAGCGCCTCACGGGTGATGAGCAGAGAGCAGAGAAAGGTGAGACTCGTCTGCATTTTGCCACACTACTTGGTCCCACAGCAAACTGCCGTTATAGGTGTAGCAGCAATGACTACCATTCCAACCTGGAGATGAAAGAGGAACCTAAACCATTTCAAACACATCACATATTCACAATATGTGAATTGAAAAGTACCAATACTTTTTGTGCACAGACTGTAAAATGAGACTGGGGTGGGGTGGGGGAAAAAACCCAAATAAGTTTGCTCGTTTGCAGCGTGTTGATTTCCATGTGCTTAAAAATGTTCATAGGCTGGAGTCTAAGGCTGGAACAAGTACACACCCACAATAAATTACTGTATTTCTAGTCAACAGACCGATGGTTTTAGAGAGGAAAATACTGTAAGCGTGTACTCATTTAGTAACTTTCTCTGATCACCTCTTGGCTTAAAATATTCACAGTAGCCCCAGGTTACTATCAAGGCAGATCTTGGAAAAAAAAGAAGTGCTGAAGCATTTTATTATCTGAATGTTCTTTAGCTGTTCAGGTAAGTAATTTTCAAGGGCACAATGGAGCACAAAAGGGAAAATGGTAGCTGTGTTCTTGTTTTGGAGGGGAGGGTAGTGGGGGAAATGACACCTTTGTTTTTAAATTCCCTCTGTCTTTTCTAAAGTTCTCCAACTTTAAAGTTAACTTCTCTTTATGATTGGAGCAAAGATGCAAGCTAGAAATCTACCCAGATCTTGCCAGTTACTTCTCAACTTGGCTTCAAACAGGTAATGTTTAATAAAACTCCGTATGCTGTTGGGAGTTTGTGTCTAGTTGTGTAACTTCTACACTGCTAAGTGATACTCCCACCCAAAGTCAGTTTTAAAGGCTTCCTTAGCAGGAAACCGGGACTCGAACAATTAGCTGTAGCTTGAGGGGGATATGTTGTAGACCCAAATGGGGAGGGAGGTAGAGAGAGAAGAATGGACATAAAAAGCAGAATTTACTGAGCAACAGACAAACTACTGTAACTCAAGGGGGAGGAGGAAAAATGCACTTTCAATAGTTTGTCCATATTTTTAGCTACAAAGTACACTTGTATCTGATTTTTTTTTTTTTTTTGAGATGACTTAAGAGGAACACCCATCCCATAAATGGCTAATCCTCCTTTTGACCTCCTCCTGTCTTTTCCACATTGGCTTGAGTCCATTTTCAGCTGCCATACTTAATTTTGAAAACTGCTACTTTTAACAATGTTTAGAAAGAAAAATCATTAACTATGACACTTTTTTTAAACAGGGTGGACTTAATTGAAGTGTGCAGTGTTGAACTACTGCTGCAGTAGCTGCCTCTAGTTGTTGAAATAAACTGTAGACAAGTTTTCTGTCAATTAATCCAGATAATCTGGATTCAGTAAAACATCTGTGAGAGTGTTCCTCCCATCTGGTATGAATGTGTGTGTGCATGTGTTCCATGAACAGACAGAGAACCAAATGTTCTAGGTACTTGTCATGTTTTATTGCATACTTTAAGTCGTGTGTATGTGAAGTGTCCTTTGACCAGAAGGTTTTGGTTAATATCAGTATATTTTTATAAATTTGAAATTCATTGTGCCCCATCTTTTTTCTTAAACATTTTTCATTCTTAGGGTATATGTGCTAGATTTGAAACTTAACATTTTTAGGCACAGATGGAAAAAGTTATTGGCTCCTTGAAAACATATGGGACAAAATGGATCCTCAAAGCATGTATGTACTTACAAACCAAGCTGTAGAGATCAAGAAAAGAACTTTATTGTTGATCTCAAGATTTCTAAATTGTCAAGATTTATATGGAGTTGTGGTGGAACTAGTTAACACTTAGAGCTTTTGGTATGTAATGACTATTTGCTATGGACTGATATTAAATGTTTCAAAGGATTGCGTTCTTAAACTTTCTGGATTTTTGTTACTCTCCTCGGATATTATTAAGTAGTTAAAATTTCTTTGCTATATTACATTAAAAACATAAGAACTTTGGGTCTCGTATTTATTTTCACTTGTTTTACTAATTATTTACAGAACACCGTTTTAACTTTTTTATTTTATAAATGTGTAGTATTTTAAACATATCTTTAAAAATTGTTCAATTGGAACTACATTAACTTCTGATTTGTTTTTATTAGGATTTTTAAAAAAACAAAAACAAAAACAACACTTTTTCCATGTTGGTGCACAGCACTTAACAGAAATGTTTGTATTCCCTTTCTTTCAATTCAATAAACAATAAATAACTGGAATGAATAGTTCTTAGTTTCCCTAACTTCACTTATATGACTGACTTGGATGTTAATTTCTTGATCATTAATTATAGATTCCTTCCATATTTGTAGTATTTCACTTCCTCGCTAGGAAAATTAACTTGTGGCCATTGAGCAGATGAGTCACCCGGTGTTGTGTGCAGGCTTTGCAGTGTTTGATGTCTGGCTCTAACCCACCTCATGCTTGTGTTTTCACTGGACATTCAGCAGTCGACCTGCTCATGTCCCAATCTGTGCTTATCTCCCTTTTTGACCACCTGCTCCTTTGAGGCTCCGTGAAATCCATGATTCCTTAATGCTGGAGCTTGCCTAAATACCAGATGCAGGTTGCTTTAGGTCATCGGTGGGTTTTACTGGGTTTTTTGATAAAGCACTTGCATCTCCTGCCTTTGTTCCCTCCAACTAACTCGGTGTTCTTGTCCCTCCTCCCTGTGCCTTAAAACAGAACCTCATCTTTATCCTGCACTTCCATTCAGCTACAGCTTATTTCTGTTAAATAAAAAGTTGTACCTCAATTTCCACTCCCTGTAGCTTTTCCAAACTCAAACCTTTTGCTGAAGCGCGTTCTTTAATTCTTAGAACTTATGTATTGATTAGAAAAGATCTTTACTCCCTCTAGTAGCACCTTTGTATTAACTTTATTCTTTCCTGTACAGTTTAGGCAATGTATAGATAATTATGGCTTAAATGCAGCTGCCAACAGAAGGGGCATGCCTTACTCCTTTCCATGTCCTGCTTTGTGCCACTTCTCTTGGGTACTGGTATTTGCAGGAAGGTTGTTGGATTGCAGACCCACTTAAGCCATAAATGCAGCAGATGAAGGAAGTTACTAACAAACCCAGCCAAAAACTGTGCTTCATCTGCTGTCCTGTCTGCCTTTAATGGGTCAGAAGAGTGCAAGAGAAACAGGGATATGAATTCTACAGACCTGTGACATTTCAGTATTTGTAAGATTAAAAATTAACTGCTGTGGTCTGGGTTCTTGTTTGGTTTTGGTTTTTTTAATCCTTCGGATTATTAAAAAGAATTACATAAAGAACCTGAGAGTAGATGTGCCTTTCATAATTACCTTAAATCCAAACTCTGCCTGAGGCAGGATACTTCTCTTACACCTTGGCTTATGCTTTCTGTGCTGCCTGATGTGCCTCTTGTGCATGTCTTGCACGTGCTTAGGCTGTCAACTCATCAGAGATGGCAATCCCAGTTGTGTCCTCACTTTAAAAGACCTATAATGCTCTGAAGAAGAACCACTGAGGTTTGTATGGCTCTAATGTTTCTGCCAAAGATAAGATGGTTAATGTACTGATAACTGCATGGTGGTTCATATATATAGCCCACATTTTCCTATCACTACCTCCAGTGGCCATCATACCATATACTTGGAGGCAAAAATGGTCTTCTGCCACTTGTACAAAATTCTAGAGAGCTTCTTGTGAGAGAAAAAGAATTAGAATAAAGCTTTGACAATCCTGAACAGATGAAGATTTGCTTTTATGGGCTTATCAGTTTTTCAGGTTGATTGTTAACCTGCCATGTAGAACTGTTCTTAGGGCTACTGCTTATACCACTGATGTTCTATGTTCCCTGAAACAGAACTACTTCAGGGAAAAAAAAACAGATACCAGGATGAGGAGGCAAGTATATTCTTTAACAAACCAGGCTAAATAACCAGCGGTCTGTAACTGAAATGAATAATTAGGAGGAAACATGCAATTGTACCTATTGTAACTAACCCCCCTCAAATGCAGAACTCTTAATAGCTGTCTCATCTCTCTGAAAACTGGAGTGACTGTCATCTTCACAAGCTGACCAGGCTGAAGACTGGGAGTGAGAAAAAAGCTCAATAATCTGTTAAAAGTTGGAATCCCTGCAGGGCAACTTTAGAGTTTTCATGGATTAAGAGCTTTCTCTAAATCATAGCTAATCATTTGAAGGATAAGCTAATGGTTCCTCCGTGAAGTTATACTTGGATGCCTCAGTTCCAAAGGGAAATATAGTCTGGTGAGTGAACAGGAAGGGATCTGTGTTTGGTCTCACACGCATTTATGGTGATAGATGAATTTTTATTAAAAATGGGTCCAAAATTTCTAATTGTCTTGAATTGTGTATAATAAGCTTGGGTTTAAATTACCCTGTTCTTCTCTCTGGGAGACCCAGAAAATAGGGATTTATTTTTTTTTTTACTATCATAAAATTTCTGTGCTTTGTGGATCTCCCATGAGGGAGATGACTGTAGGATCTCTACTTCTAGCTAATGAACCACAGTTTTAGCAATTACAAATATATTTTTCTTGTTGCTGACACTGAAGATTTCTCCTGAGGCAGGAAAGGATCCTGTACAATAGGAAGGCTTTGAAATTACCAGTGGAATTACTCAGCAGAATTGTAGTCTCTGAAACCTGCTACCAAGGTTTTTGCAACTATTATAATCAGTTGGTAGATATAAATGAAGAGAGAATTTATTTATATTAAAAAATTGAGGTGGGAAGTTTGCATTCCTACAAAAGTATAGATTGTTTAATATTTGACAATCCCCACTTAGAAAACATATCTCTATTTTTTTTTTTTTTTGTTGGTCTATCATGGTTAATAATTCACTCTTGAGGAATTGGGGAGGAATCCACAATAACATCCCTCTAGGTCAGGGAATACACATGCCATCCCCATTTTTTTTTTACCTCAGATATGTTGTTTTCCCTTATCCTTCTCTGTCCTGCTCCCATCTCTGAAGAAACACTTGTCTGGGTAGGGGAATAGAAGCTTTTCATAGTGAGTGATAAATTTTACCAGTTTCCTTGGGGAATGGGTCTACTCTATCTAAATATCATCCCTGCAATTCTGAGGTGCTACTAGTTAGAAATCATCAGAGACAATGTATCATACAAACATTTTCATTAATAATAAAGCTCTTACCTCAAAATCATGTCTTTAGAATAAGATACACAGCTGCTAGTTTAAGTGATGGACTTGCAGATTAATGCTCATGTTTCTCAGTGTGAAACATTAATGAAATATATCTACTGTCAGCACTACAGCAAGGACCTGACTTAATTAGCTTATCCACATTGCCCTTTCTTCTAACAGATAGCACCCAAAATGTGTAGTATGTTTTTCTCACATATGAATAAAATAATTTAATTGCCTGCCACATAAACTGCTACAAAAGTTACCTTCTGCTCTCTAAGTTTTACTTGCTCTCCTTTTCCCAGACTGACATCCTGTCTGAGTTTCAGCTTTATAGGGCAGTACTTTCTGTAGCTTGATTTTTTTGTGGTTTAAAGTAGTCAGTGGCATACAGCTGGGGTAGCTGTTTCCTTAATTATTTTTTAACAAGCATGATTTTCAGCAGTTTTTCATCTTTACAACAGCTGAACTTGGACTCCATCCATCACAAATTTAAAGCCAAACTTTTCCTATAACAAACACTGAACACGGGGAATCTACAGAAATCAAGCCTCAGAGTTGTCTTTTTCATTGCTGGCCATGAAAACGATCTGTTAATTACAGCTGTGCACTAAAAAACCAAGTACTTAAGGAAGAAAAAGCTCATAAATTTTAGGACATAATTACAGAAGTGTATTTTTAAAGTGTTTTAATTGATGTGTTTGTTTCAAGAGACCTATTTCCAAGCACATATAAAAAAGTTTAAAGACAGTTATTGGACAGTGAGGGTACAAACTCAGGTTTATACACTTATCACTGAGGCAAGAGCTGCACAAAAAGAACTGAGTTTGCTGGTATCATCGAAGCAGAGTCACATCAGAATTGGGATAAATGGGGTTATGGTTTACCAGACCATTTCCCTGAGCTAGACATACTCTTGGTTCACCTCACTGGATATGGAAACAGCAGGTTCATAGAGTAGCAACTGCAAATAGTCTTTTGCTCTGTAACCAGCTCCAACCAGCAAGATGATGATTACTTTATGTGAAGGTCTGTGATGTACTTCAGTGACAAAACAGGAGTTGAAGGGAAAAAGCAAGTATTAATCATGTTTCTTATTTATGTTTTTCACTCTTACACACAGGTGTCACTTCCACCAAAGGGATCTTAATCCATCCAAAAATGACTTCACATAGGTTGTTGGAGGGAGGGGTGAAAAGGGAGAAAAGCATAACTTTTATTCCACTGTTTTTTACCTGGAAAAAACACTGACACAAAGATGCAAGCTGTGCTACTATTCCACTTTGAAATCTGTGTTGCAGGTACTGCTTCAAACTAGGCTTGAGTAGGACAGCTTGACAGCCAGAGGCACATCCTGACACCTTTCAGTAAGAAGCAGACACCAGAGCTGCACTTAAATTTGTTCTGGAACTACCATCATTACCAGCCCATGCTGCTGAAATGAGTTTCCCTTCTCACCATTTAATTCCTACAAAGGTCAGTTCTGTAAGCAAGGATTGCATCTTACAGAAACAGCAACTCCAGCAGTTTGGGTTGTAAAGGAACAAAAACAACTGCTACACAAATCCAATGTCTTTTGAAAATATTTTATGTTAAAAATACAGAAAAATATTTCTTGTTCAAAGAGGAAAAATATACTGCATGACGCCACTGATCTAGGTGTGTTCAGAAGGTGTCTGAGGCTCCACAACCAGTCACTGGAGTGATGACCCAGTTTGGCAGCTAATGGTTCTTTTTCAACTTCTCAATCATTTATCAAAGCCAGAATCATACTGTGACAAAACAGAAAACATGATACCAGTGGATTACTGAAGCATGTGCAAGCAGGAACAGCTATTGCTGTCATGAGAGAGCTGCACTTGAGCCTGAAATAGAAACTTAAGGCAACTGCTGTGTGCTTTGCTTATGAGGACAAGAGCTGCAGAAGTAATATTGCTGCAGAATAACAGCAGCTCTGCCATCTTGTAGTAAGTGGCCCCATCACAGAACTCATCCATTTGTAACTTAGATCAACTTGGTCCTCAAGATTATTTCCATTCTAAATAGGCCACTTACTATAGGCACTCAAAGCATGTAACTCTTTATATTGTAGTGGTTTAGAGATTAAGGAGTAGCCTGAGTTTCCAAATAATGTCTGATCAGAAAGAATAAAGGTATATAATGAGCCCACAGATAGCTGTCAAAATATATTACTGAGGCTTAGCAGGATGCAAAAAGATAAGACTAGAATACCAGCAATTACAGTAGAATAGAAGAGATAAAAATAGCTGGCAGACAATTCCTTTGTTCCTTGGGAGCAATTTTTGAAACTAACCTGTAAAGGTACATGAAGAAACAGAGCAGATGAAAGCCCAGTTTAATCATGGCTTCTTTCATGTGTGATTTCAGTTGTCCTCGGTTATGGATCTCTGTGGGATCAAACACTCCCATGTTTCCACTTGGCACCATAATGTACCTGAAAGTTTAAGAATAAAGAAAAAAAAACACCACACAACAAAACCCAAAAACGTAGTCATTTAATCATTAGGGAATGTCAGGAGAAGGAGAGGGGGAGAGCTTTCCCAGAAAAGAATTTCATCTAAAGAGCTGTTTCATGATTCAAGGTAAGGGAGTTCTTTTTTAATTCTATTTCAGTTTTAGGATATTGCATGTATGTCTGCCAGTACAACCCACAAACAAAAAATAGGAGGACAAGAAGTACTAAAAGCGTCAGCCTGGCTTCCCATGTATAAATGGGAGAGATTCCAGGTAACAGCCAATTCCAGTTAATTGCTGTTCACAGTTACTTGCTGTCATGGAGAAAACATCCACCCACAGTGGAAAGATGCATTAGATGAAAAGGACTGGAAAAGACTTCATTTAGCTAAGAATTAGTGATTTATTTAGCAAAAAACCCTCATATAGATAATCCCAAACTCTGGTTGTCAAAATGAGATGGTGTATGACAAGACAAAGGATCTGTGTATTATTCCTGTCTTTGTCACAGCCACCCTGTCACATCTCAGCACTGACACTGAGGCTGAGAGGATGAGAGGCTGGGCAGAACTGAAGAAGTTCTGCTGCCCAAACTCACATAAGAACAAAAGTTGAGTGAAACCAAGTGAAACGTAAGGAAAGGAAGAATGAAGCTGGAAAACACAATGCTTACGTCCTGTGAAAATTCAGCAAGCACCGTGGTTTTTTGTCACAAGCATTTCTCATGGGAGAAAATAGGAGCAGATGAAGTTCTCACTCCTGCTGAGCTCAAGCTAGAGCAGTACTATTAAATCATTGAGATGTCATACAGTCTTTACCTTCCTGGATTAATAATCTTTCTATATGGGAATTTAACTCCTTGTGGAGCAAAAAAATGGTTTCAGAACAGAAGACTTTGATTTTCTTTCTGTACTCAAGTGGCAACACTTGTACTCCAAAAGGCACTTCCTCACCTCTTACAACATTCATTTCAATAACAGGAGGAGAAGAAAGGGAACAAGAAACAAAGATGTTTTCTAGTGGCAGTACAAGACTGGAAAAAAACCCAGTAAGACCACAGTCTGTGTCCTTCACACAGAGGTATTAAAAAGCACTGCAGCATATTTGACTAGTTTCAGATACAGTTGTGTCCCATGAAAAATAGTTCATGTGAACAAATTCCAGTTTGAAATTCTCTTCTAAATTTGAAGTTTTAAAGGATTGTTCTGTTTTTAGTAGTACAACAGACATTATTGTCCGTTTACTGGGAATGGAAGGCATTTAATTGGAATAAAAGGAAGAACACAAGTTTCCTGTACCAATTTATCCTAGAAATAGGGCGCATAATTTTCTTACATGTCTAGGATAAGAGTGCCACAAAGGCAGCATGTATTAATTTTGCTTTTTAGGAAGAATGATAACACTTAAATTTTGCAACTTAACTGCAGAACCTGTGAGGTATTTTTTCCTAGAGGCCCACAAGTTGGGACAGCTTATATTACATATATCTAAGGAAACTAGTCATGGATACAACGATGCTAATGCTGACAAACCCAACTCAAGGCAGTTGTCATACTCTAAACAGCCAAAAAACTTCTACAGCAAACATGACAACTGTCAGCTTTAATGGATACACACACTACTGCCTTCAGTATTTCCATTCAGTGGAAGCTGCTGCCACAGCAACAGGACACTTCCCTCTAGATTACACAATTTTTAAAGTGATGTAGAAGTTCTGGTCAGAATTTTACCTGCATTTTTAAGAATTTTTTTTTTGTTTTTTTACTTTTTCAGTTTTAAGATGAGTATTATCTACTTAAAGACACAGCAAGAATCACATTATTTGGACCTATCCTCTCAAGATTTATATAACAAAGCAGAAAGAAAAAAATTGAACACTTCCCTAAGAGTTTTAAAACAAGGAGAATGTAAGACAAAACTGTCTCACTCGAGACACTACAAAATTCATCAAAAAAACCCCAAATTAAATGATCATCTGAGCATGCTGAACAAGAAGGGCCAGCAGGATGTTACAATAAACATGTTTGAAAGTCTCCCTTGATGCATTATTGACCAATTTATCCTTCTCAGCATTTATTTCTGATGCCCCTTTTGCACAAAATCTCTCTCCTCCAACTGAAATCCTTGAGACATTTAGTAAATTAGGCAAGTACTGCCATTCATTCATTGAGATTAGGCAGATTTTGAAGAAAAGTGAATGACAGGAAGAGATTATCCTACCTTTATCATTTTTACTACAAAGCACAGACTGCTTCAGTCTCAATATAATTATTTCTGTAATCATTTTGGAATAGACAATAAACCCTTCTGAATTTGTGTGCAGAAATACTGTAACATACTGAGAAGATGCAAAAACATTTAGCTGATGCCAGATGTTTGCAGCTCACACTAATGGGTTCACATTTCATCTGTTCCCACTTGAGCCGACTTTAACTGACACCTTCTCCTCTCTTCAGGGTATTCCAACTACTTTACAGTCCACCATTCTCTACCATGCCTCTTGCCCATTGAACACTGGGTCAAATGTATGTTCTATCCCAAATCTTCAGACTTCCTTTATAATCATAAAATGGTTTTGGTTCAAGGGATCTTAATGATCGTCTCGTTCCAACCCCGCTGCCACCAGCAGGGAAACCTTCCACTAGACCAGGTTGCTCAAAGCCCCATCCAACCTGGCACTGAACACTTCAGGGATGGGGCATCCACAACTTCTCTGGGCAACCTGTGCCAGTGCCTGATCACCCTCACAGAAAAGAATTTCTTCCATATACCTAACCTAAATTTCCCCTCTTTTAGTTTGAATCTATTACTCCTTGTCCTATCACTACAGTTCCTGATGAACTGATAATGCTAAACACCACACCTGCTTTTGCAAATCTCTAATTCCTTCATTATAGATGGGATAATCCAGGCTATTAGTGTGAGTGAAACTCCTCAATCCACAGAAGGAAGGCAGGATTAGTGATATAGGCTTAACATTTTGATTTCTTGTGGCAGGACAGGCAAAGTATCATATTGTCAGATTCATTTATTGCCTACACTGCATATCTAAAATGGAGAAAACAATCCCGGATTTTAGGATATTCAGAATATTTATGCCATGTATGACAAATATAAAATGAGAGCTGTCAATAAAAACAGCAGTCAAAGCTTATTGCATGAAGTGTGGAAATAGAAATCATTTATCTTCGAAAATTTACTCTAACAGGGTTTAGAAGGGAAAGCAAGGTGCTACTTTAAAAATTAACATAAATACACCAAATGAAGCAGCAACAGGGTAACCAGTAAAGGAAAGCTTCAAAGCTTCAAAGAAAATCCATTCTCTCTCCAGTGTCTCTGCAGAAACATCCTTGCCTAAGTGAAACATCAAACTCCAAAGCTGCCAGCAGATACCAAACAGAATACTGGTCACTTTGTGTAACAGCTGTACATGTGGGTGGCCAAAAAAAATAGGCAAAAACATGCCCCACGTGTGTACATTTAGGCAACATTTGTTTATTAAGCACGAAGTTACACTGTCGTATGTTACTCCGGCTTAGAAACATTTGAAGGCTTCGCTGGCATTCCACAGAAAACAAGGGTGATGAATGCATGGCTATTTTGCCCAAGAACAGCCAGGTTATCAGTACAGAGATACTCAACTTTGTTTTGATGAGAGCTATGAACTTCTTTTTTAATTTTACCAGTGACTCAACCCACCCCTGCAACTAGTTAACCCTAACAGGTTCAGGCAAACAAGAATTACAGCAAACTTTTCCTACCTGTACCTTAAACTTTTTTATTCCCATAGTACAGTGTTTAGAGATAATTTCTGACAAATTCACACCCAGTTTTCATTAGTTTAACAACTGTAAGGGTCAGTTCTCCAAACATCAAATGATACAAGATAAAAAGAAGTTTTTGAACTCACAGTCCCGGTGTTGCTGATAACTAAACCCTTACTGATAACTAAACCATTTCCAAGGGGTGGCAGCCCAGGGCACAAAGACCAGTAACACTGACAGCTTTCCTAGGATGAAAAGTCTGCAAACCTTTCCAAATACAAAGAGGCAGGATGGGGGAACAAAACCAGTGCAGATGAGAGGGAGAGACAAGTCAGTGAATGAAGGAGGACATTGTGTGGGGGACAACACCCCAGCCCAGTGGTTTTACAACCATCAGGCAAGCTGACATCAGCACTTTTATGCCGATATCACGCACGTAGGCACAGCATGAAAAACATTAACAACTCTGCAGTACTTCATAATCCCAATTAATATGCTATTATTTCCTATGAACTTGGGAATGACCCACAAATCAAGATTCCTGGGCACTGGGGATAATGAAAGGAAAGGCCAAAAGTTTCATATCCTTTACACTGTTGGGTTTCTTATGATTTTAATGGCAAGAAGAGGTTTTATGTTAGTTTGATCAATGAAGACTAGTAGCAGCTCAAGAAAACAACTGAAACATCTCACCATAGCATATTATTTATCCTTGTACTACACTTAAAGCTAAACTAGTAACAGTGGGGAAAAAAAAGCACATAAACCCCTGTGCACTTACCTATATATATTCCATGTTGCTACTGGCAAATTAAGGAGAAAGATGAACCAGTGCAATGAAATAAGCATTAATACTGTTACAACAGCATGGCCAATCACCTCAGGGACCACCCACTGTAAAAAGGGAAAAGAAAAGGGTTACACACACAAATGTAAATTCCTTTCTGAAACAGAGATCTATATGGAGTTATCATCTCATTCTAATCATGCAAAACTCAAGAGAGAAACATTCATGGCAGAGGCATGTGATTCCATCACAGTGTGGAGAAATTAATACTTTCAGGCAGATTCCAGGCAAGTAAGCCAGAAATCAAGGCCTACGATATTATAACAGAGGTGCTTTATCCAAGCATGTCTGGAGAGCATCACAGCAGCTGTCTGCACACAACTTGTGTTACACAAGCACTTAAAAAAGCGAGTTAAAAAGTATACAGTGCTCATTTGAAATCACTGCAGAGAACAGTGGATTTAGGAACATAGATAATTAAAATCTGCACAGACACAGAACGTACAAACAAGCCTCAGGCTTGGAACAGATAAAAATGTTGATCAATATGAAAACTGCAGTTAAATTGGGTCAGCCCCTTGCAACTACACGTTTTTGGTTTGATAGTATCCTGTACCTTTCTCTCTTTCATTAAGAAAAAAATACCTTTAAATCCAAGTGAACACACATACATGGGAAGGCCACACTGATTTAATGCAAACAGTTTCAAGCAGATTTGTTTAAAGTGGTACTTTTCCTTATCACAGTAAAACTCTACTGTTCAAGAGAGGTTAGAAATTACACAGATCAGAGAAAGTTGCTGTGAAGACCTCAGAGTTCAGTCATGAGTAGACACCCTTGGTGTGGTCCACCTACAAGAACAAAGCACAGAACTCAAGAGCTCTGTGAAGCATTGTCTCAGTCCCACCAGTTTAGGCAGCAGCCCATCCTGGAGCACCAGGGGTCAGAACAACAGCCTTTTGTGACTGAATTTGCTGAAAGATGGGCACCCAAAAGAGACAGGCAGGCTGAAGTAAAGCATGTATGCAAAATACTGCCAGTTGAGGCTCTCGAGGTATGCATTTACACCCCAGTTATTTGTGATGCTGAGATGAAGGATGTGGTTTTCTCAAACCACATTAAATGCAATGAGGAACAATTTACTTTATTGAGTTTGGAGCAGCATGATCTAGCGTTGATGTAGTCACATTCCAAATCTGATAGTGTGATTATCTGGAGTCCAAGATAAGGAAACATTGTATGGTGACTGGGAATACACAAAGCTTTATTTTTAGCCAATAAATTGGGGAGAACCCTCTTGCTCTCATTGCAGACATCTTGTTCCATGTTGATCTGCCTAGGACATATTTCAATCAGTTACAACTCACTCCAACGTCAGGTAGAAAGCTTGGCTACATTTTATTATCAGGCCAAGTAATTTTATGATATTTTCCCAAGGGCAACTGTTGCACAAATGCTAAAGTTCAGTTCAACCCTTACAACAAGCCAGGGAGGCAAACTCAGTAATTTTAGTATCAGATTTATTAATACAACCCTTGAAGCCAGAACTTAAAAGTAACGAAAAGTTAATGCACTTTTTAAACTCTCCTCACAATAAAGCTAAATAGTTTGGATTCAATAAGTGAATCTACTTTTTTTTAACACTTACAGCAACACTGGATTAATTAATAATTCATTAGGCAATAAGAGAGTAACATCATTATTGAATGAACTTTCAGCAACTGAAATATGAATATTTCAGACAGAAAAGTCCTCTCAAAAAAGGCTTAAGATGCACGTGTGCACATCATCCCGCTATGTCCTGTAAAGACATTGTCCTTTTCTCCAAGGAAATGAACAGTTTTTTCTATTCCTAAAAAAAGAGGTGAAGGCTTTTCATTTTTCAACAAATAATCTATCCTTCTAGGCCGAATTTTTTTCCCAAGTGCTTCTGTACTTGTTAATGTTAGCAGCAGGTAGACTCTGAAATAGCACTAGGATTGAAAGAGGTGTAAAAGCTAGCTGGCTTTTACTGAGAAACGTAAAGAAAATGAAGCCAAATCTGTGCCTCTACATTGCAACAACGCCAGGCAGCAAAGGCTGCGGGCGGGTCTCTAACAAAGAAGATGGAAATCCTGTTTGTCGAGGAACTCGGAGCCCCACAGCCCGCAGCACACGCCTAAGACAAGGCAAGGCACCCTCGCAATTCGAACCCTGTTGCGCGGCCGCGCTTTTTAGGCCCGTGCGGCTCCCGAGGGCCGGCGCCGGCACCGCTCCCTGTGCTCCCACAGCTCCTTGTGCTCCCACAGCCCCCCGCCCCGCGCTCCAAGAGCCCAACATGCTTTGGGCACCGAATCCCGCGGCGCTTTCCCGCAGCCAGGCGCTCCGGGCTCCCCAGATCCCCCGGTCCAGGGGGCTGCACCCCGGGCCCCCGAACCGCGGCCATGACCCGGCGCAGCTCCCCCCGGCGCAGCTCCCCCCGGCCCGCCGCCCCCAGCCCGCCGGCCCCGGCCCGCCCTCGTGCCCCATCCCTGCCCGCCCCCACGGAGCAGGATACGAAGTAGACGGAGAGGAAGATGAGGGCGCAGCAGTCGATCAGCGAGAAGATGAAAACCACCGACTCCATCCCGCCGCCGCGCCCGCCGCCCCCGGGGCCCTCCCGGCCGCCGTAGGACCCGCCCCGCCCGGGCGGGCCCGGCCGCGGGTCCCGCTGGGAAATGGAGTCCCCGCCTCGGGGGGCCATGAGGAGCCGACCCGGCCGCGCCATCGACCCGCGGCTCAAGCAGCGCGTCAAGCAGGTACTGCCCGCCCGCACGGGCACCCCCGGCACCGGCCACGGCCACGGCCACGGCCACGGCCACGGCCACGGTATTGGCGGCGGGGGGGGCTCGTGTGTCCCACGCCCGCTGAGGGGCCTTGAGCATCTGGCCCGCTCAGGGGCTGGAGGGGACCAAAGTCCGGCCTTACCTCCCAGAGCCTTTAAATAGGCTTTAGAAAGGTCTATTTGTTTGTTGGGGGTGGTGGTGGTGGTGGTGGTATTTTTTCTTAAATTTTCTGTTATTTCGCTTTATTTTCGCACATCTTTCCGTCCTCTTCAGTAGTTCTGCTCCTGCGGGTGGCTGCTGCTTCAAGCGTGCAATGAGTAGTGTATAAATATACCATGTGTGTATATATACGTACATATCTAGGTATATGTGCATATGTATGATGTGCACATATATGTATATACGTGGGGTGTATATATATGTGTGTGTATATATATATATATATATTTGGGTATTAGTAGGAATTTTTTCACAGAAAGGGTGATTGGGCATTGGAACGGGCTGCCCAGGGAGGCAGTGGAGTCACTGTCCCTGGAGGTGTATAAGGAAAGACTGGATGTTAACACTTGGTGCCATGGTCCATTTGACGTGATGGTGTTCGGTCATAGGTTGGACTTGATGATCTCAGGGGTGTTTTCCCACCTATTTGATTCTGTCATTCCGTGATACTGGCAAATTTTAAGTGTTTACATTTGGAAACATGTAAAAAGCTATTATATTAAATACATAAATAAAAGGGGAAAATAAAATTACTTCCCTAGTACATGTGTGAAGAGCAGGGAGAACAGTGATTCCTTCAAGTGGCACAGTGCTGTGTTATGTCTTATGATAATCTCTGGTGACTTTGCAAATTAAACACCCTAATACCTCTGTATTAGGGTACTCCACTTCTAATTCCTTAAAATGCAAGTGGCTGCTTGAGGGAACTTGCTTGGTTTAATTTACAAGATCACGGTGACTGTGTCTTGACTATTCTGAAGTGGTAAAGCCTTTTTATGGTAGGGTTTATGATAGGCTTGATGTTTCTTACAGGGCAGTAGCTGCCCTTGGGTGACATGAAGTTTAACATAATTTTAAAAGATAACTCTGTATTCAATTTGATTGTTTTAAATAGAGTTATTAATTTAAATGAAGTTTTGAAATTCTCCTCACTGTGACATCTGTGATACCATATCTTTTAGGGAGATTCTCTGTTTTCTTTCTCCTTTTTAAGAAGGAATTGATCTTTACAGTGTAAAAACTCCGTCTCACTCCTGATTTGGAGAGTGGGGAAAGAGAGTAAATGGAGTACAGTTGTACATGGAATTTTGTACATTTTCTCACACTTTCATAATTGTGGTTTGGAAATGGGTTGGATTAACTGCTGTCATAACAGAAGGCTTGACAGAATTCACTGTTGTTAATGCACTTTCCTATAGGATTCCTTGAAACATCTTGTAAAGATTGAAGTTCTTATTACGACAGTATTCGTGCTGATTGATATAGATGGTTTCATTTTTTTGGGTAGGAGATCTAAACCAAAAGGAGACTAGCTGAGAGGAACCAAGAACTTTAGGATTGACAGTAGGATGCTGTGTGGGCTCCAAAGTCATCTTTCTTACAAAATAAAAACATTGGAGTTGACCCAGCCCCAAAAGCCCCAAAATGAAGGATACTGCCTTTCCTGGGGAAATGAAGCTACCTAGTTATCTGTGATTTAATAAGCATTTCCCATTTCCAGAGGAAATACTCTCTGGTGTGTTGCAAGGCAGTGAAAAGCTGTTTCTGATTTTCATTTTGACTTCCTAAGAAGAACAGAGTTTGAAATAGGCACATGTGGTCTAGCTGTTCTGGTGAAGTGATTGACAAGAATTTTGTTCCCTGCTTAAAATTCTTCATTTCAGTATCTTGCAAGCAGTAAATGTGGGCAGTATGTTGACATTGGAGTCCTAGCATCTGATTTGCAGAAAACCTACAGGTGAGCCAAGACTTGTATTCTTATACTCCGTATTTAAAATATCGAGTATATTATTTTGTTACTTTACATTCATGTATTTTTAATTTAAAAAAATAATTTTTGTTATGTTAACATCCTTGCCAGTTGTTGAGGTTGATTGAAACAGTGAGATCATTTCCCCTCCAGTGTTTCCCTTTGCTGATATATCTAGTAACACAAATCTTATTAACGCACTGGGATTACACGATCTAGTCGTGGGTTGATTTTTTTTGTTTTAAATCAACAGCTAAAGATGCATGGCAGCATGTTGGTCTTTAGACCCAGTGAGCTTAAAATATGAGGGGAAAATAACTCTTCAGTGCAGGGACAGGGTAGAGATACAGGACCCAAGACAACATTGTATTGTGCTCAGTTGCTCAGCAGGACAATCAGTCTTGCCTAGTTATTTTTAGGCTGTTACACTTTTCTGGGTGGGGAGCAAGGTGGGGATTAATGAGGGTGGAGAAGTGTATTCACTCATGTTTGTGTGCTCTGTTTATTTGTGCCTTGTTAGAGAAAATGAGCCAAACCCCCTTGCTTAGGATGCTTATTGGTCTTGGGGTTTTGTTTTGCCTCTGTTGGGTGTTGTATTAAAGCAAGTAAGTAAAACACACCTTCAGTAAGTGAAGGTAAAAGGCTGATGATTTTTGTTTGCATTTAAGGATACTCTTGAATCAGAATTTCTCATAGTGACCATTATTAATTAACATGGTTATTCCTTACTGGAGTGTCCTTTTTAGAATATAGTCCTTTGTCCATATGTTCATGTTTGCATTAAAATTAAAATATTGTTAATGTTGTGAAATAGAATCCAGTGTACTCATTTGTACCTTGCTGCTTCTCTGTATCTGCAGTTAAAGAGGATCTTGATAATTTTTAGTAAATATCCTCTTAGAGACCAGCATAGGTTAGTGGTTTGGTTTCATCCCCGTGACTGAGATATTCCAGTCTTAAGAAAAAGCAATCACATTTTCACACAGTTGATTTTTAATAAGAACTTGTGTGGAAGTTCGGGTATCAGCTTAGCATGTATTTTTTTCAACGAGAATGACAATATGTTGGGGGGAAAAATCAGTTGGTGTAACATGTTTATTTTGGTTTTCTTTTTCAGTGCAGAATATGGACGAAGAAAAAGAAATGCCTTTAGAATACAAGTTGCAAAAGGTAGTTCTTTTAGCGTTGTGTCCAAGATGCCAAATTCTTTGATTATGCTTTGGCTGTTTTCTTAAATGTTTGAACTTTTTCTTTCAGTGTTTGGAATAATCAGTAATGAAAAACAACGTGAGGATTTAGCAGTTTTAGAAGCTGAACATGTGGCAAAAAGAGCAAGACAAGAGAAAAATGAGTAAGATGAATTTTTACCAGTAGATTAATAATGCCTTTAGTGTTATCATTTCTTTAAAGCTGTCTGTCTTCATATTATTAAATTTTGGTAGTTTCAAGGTTACAGGTAGATCCTTGATATCCCATAGGCCTGTCTTCTTCAGAAGTTACCTGTATTTATTGGAATCACTTTTGTCCCTAGAGACAAGCAGATACTAGAGCTAATCATGATTTCTCTGTTATGGGGAACATACAGCCCTGAATTGGTGGATACCTTGGGGCATCTTTGATAGTTTTCCACACAAGGCCTCAGTTCTCCTGTGATTCAGTTCCTTTGTTCTGTTTTGTTCTTAATCTTTCTTGAGAGTGAGAGATATTGTCTACATCTCAGAGACAAGACTACAAGACAGGCTGTTCTGAGTAAATCACCAGTGGGAATTGAGATTTCCTGACTCCTAAACCTGTGCATGGTCTCATGGACTGTTCTGGTTTCTCTAACTTGTCATAGATATTAAGGATGTTGTGGGAAATTAGAACAATGTTGTCAGAAGGACTAGTCTAGTTCAGCAGTGATTTGCTACTGCTTGCCTTGTGCCAGCACTGGTGATTCTGTGATCTCTTGGTAAATTGAGTCAGAGTGATCCTACATCACCTTTTTTTAGGACTGTCTTTCAGCCAGGCTGACAAGTTGATCCAACTCATCACAGACTTGGAAAGGATGTATTTTTTAACTCTTAATAGTAGAAAATTTGAAACATGCAAGTCAGGAATTTCTCTCCAGCTTTAGGCTGCCTGTCATAGTTGTGGGGAGCCACATTGCTGAAATTGCATTTGTTTTATTTTATGGATGTCTCGCAGTTCTGCTCTGATAATCATGGAGTTTTTGTCTTCCTTCCATGTAAAGGACTACTGGAAGTACCACAGATGACTCTGATTATGATGATTATCCAGAAGATCTAGTAAGTTGTATTTTATTACGTTTGTATTTGCATAATATATGATTCTATGTTGTAAAAGTGCACTTGGAGAATTTAAAAGTGGAGATAAGAGAGGAGGTATACTCAGAGTTGACAATTCCCACTGAGAATCTATAGAGCTGAAAGGAGACTGAATTCTGAAGGAATAGGAAGAACCTGTGGTGGGGAATCACTTTTGAGGAAGGCACAGTGGGGGCCTGAAAGACTTATCAAATGAATGAAACGATTAAAGGAACTGACATACCCAACTACTGCAAAAAGAGGTGCCTGCCAATTAACAGGGTCATTTCAGGATGAATTGCAAAGGCTGCTGCCCCTTCAAGGAGGACAGATTTTTATATGCAGTCATTTGATTTGGAGAGGAGTGGGTTGGGAGATGCATGCCTCTTTTTCCCATGGGGATAATGCTAAATTGTATTTATGAAATAGTTTTCGTTGGCCTCTTACTGCAAATAATCCAAGTTATAATCTGTCCCATATATTTTCTTTTCAAATGTGTGAATCTGCAGTCTACAAATCACATGAACAGTTCCCTGCTGAGCTTATATAAGAAAGGAAATCCCGATTCTGTTCCAACCACTCCAAAGACTGACCCAGGGGAAACCCCTCCTCCTGCGCGACCTGCACCTCAAACAAGCACCGTGTCACCAGGAGCAAGAAGTGAAACACGGATCTCTGATGGTGGCTGGTTCATTGATAAAACTCCATGTGGTAAAGACTTTTTCATTGACCTTTCTGAGGATGGAGAAGGAGATGAAAAGAAACTGATTTCTGAGGTATTGTGTTTTACAAACCCAAGATGATTTAACTAGAAGCATGAATATAATTGATCTGTAAGGTCCCTTCCAACTCAAACCATTCTGTGTTTCCTGTGTAACTTGACAGGCTTCTGAAGGGTGATTCTAAGACCAAAAAGACAGTCTTTCTCTCTGGATTTTTTAAATATATTATTTTTTTTACAAACATGCGTGCTGTGTTTAAAGATAGTGAACATGTTAAACTGAAAAGAAAGATTGGCTTAAGCCTAGTAGAGTACTTGTTTTTAGCTTGGGTTCTGAAGAAGGAGTGTCTTAGCCCATTGTTCTACCACGTCAGAAGTGATTTTTCTAACCTTCTGGCCTATTTCAAGCATGTTTGTATGGGAGGTAAAAAGACACGAGATTATGAATTTCCTCCACATTTTTTGAGGAAAATGCAGTTCTCAGTATTAGGGAGGCCCAGTTTAGTGCCTATACTGAGATAAAGATCAGTGGAAAGGAATAAGTAGTTGTTACTTATTCCATTTGCCATTGATCAGCCTACCTGGCATGAGGCTTGCTGTAGCCACAGCATGTGTTAAAGTCTTTGTGAGTATGGAGAAAGTGGAATTTATTTGAATGGACAAAGTTATAGAAGATGAAAGGAAATTGCATTGATTTATAAAGCAGTAAAAAATAGATTCTACTCCCCATCTAGACATACTACCCAGTTTGTGATCCCCTCCTTCACCCCAGTCATTTTTTTATTTTGAAAAAAACAATTTTGTTTAGCTGCTGAAAGCTTTCCATTTGTGTATGTGAGTTAACATTTGTATTGCTTGACTGACCAGATGTTTCAGCAGCCTGTTTTTTATGTGAAGGAAGACCTACATTTACATCTGCCTTTCTAATTACACAAAATGCTTACTGAATAGGCAGATTTGATAAATCATTCCTTTATCCTAGTAGTACTGCATCCTCTCATCTAGAGAAAATGAATAGAAGAGAGATCTTCAAATTGTAAAATATTTGCAATACTGTATTTTTAAAAAAAACGCCCAACAAAAACTCCCCAGCTTTCATCATTGAACTTTTTATTTCTTTTATCTTGTAATAGTCCTTTTCTTTCGTGCAGTTAACTTATGTGAGCACTGAATAATATTTTTGTATAACCATTTGTGACTTACTAGTAATAAAAATTGTTTCCAATGGAGTAAAAACATTTGTATAGTTTTATTCATCCCATTTTAAAAAGGGAAAAAATCCTAAGTACAAAAACGACTTTCTACAAAAGGGGTTAAATTCCTGCCTTGCTTGTCTTTATTTATATAATATGTGTAAGTTAAGCATCATAGACACACATTTTCTTCTTTTAAGTATTTGCAGAAGTTCATTGATTTAAAAGGTGTTGTATGTAATTCTGGTTTTATGGCCTAGAAATCAGCAGAATATTCTCTCTTGGAGAGTGAAAGAAAGAAGACAAAGGGCAAGAGAACAAAAAGAAAAAAGGAAGAATTTCCAGATGTAGATGGAGAAATTGAATCCATGTTACTTAAGAAAGGTGAGAAGTTATTTGTGTGTTACTCAAAACAGAGACGATATTTGACCATGGAATCTGTTACCAGAGCAGTGTTTTTTGAGGCACAGAGAAGCGATCTCAAGCATTTTTTAAAAAAAAATTTAGCCTTAATGTTATATTAAAAAAAATATTTCAGTCCTGTGTCTACTACTAAAAAATAACAATTAGCTAAGGCTAACATAGCTAACTTAGCTAAGGCTTAGTACCTTTCTGTCTGGTGTTAGCAACTACTGTTGTACCGTGTTTAAATTTGTGTGACTTTTCCTCCTTAACAGTGAGAAGTAAGGGACCAGAGCTTTATTGCCCTTCAGTGACATTTGAGGATGTAGGAGGCAACGATGAAACTTTAAAGGTTAGTTAAAATTTTATTGGTGGGCTACAGGATGCACTGAAAGAAATGTCACGTGAAAAATGACAGAGAAGGAGTCTTGCAGAATTCCTCTGCATGGCACTGAGAAGAGCTGCTTATACCAACAACAAGAAGGTTGTTTATTTTCCTTGGATTAATCTTTCTCTAAGCAGTCACTGAAATCAGATTAATAAACAGAACTTGCTTTACTTTGCCCTGTCTATAATAGCAGCAATCTGTAATGCTAATTTCTGTAATTTAAGTGAAGGTTTTTCTTGTTCTTAACAGGAAATCTGCAAGATGCTCATTCACATCCGTCATCCCGAAGTCTATAACCACTTAGGCGTGGTCCCACCTCGCGGCTTTCTTTTACATGGGCCACCAGGTTGTGGGAAAACGTTACTTGCACAGGCAATTGCTGGGGTGAGATAGCTTTAAATTTACAGTTTCTTCTTTTCTTGAATTATATTTAGAGAGAAAGAAAATAGTCCTCCTTCATGATAGGCTAGATCATTCCACTTCTTTATCCTTCCTGGGATAGTCTGAAAAATATTAATTCTCACTTTGTTTGAATTCCATCTGAATCTGTACGTGATAGAACCTCATATATAAAGAAGAGACATAGTGACAGGGTTTTACATTTTAAGTTGTTCTGAGGCATTCCCAGGACAGCAGTATAGGCACAGGTGTTGAGAAGGGTATAAATGGAAGGTACTTTTGGTTAAATTTACCATAGTGTTTCATTTTAAGTCTAGACTCGACCTTACCATTTTTTATGAGGCATTACATTGATTTTATTGGGTGGCATCCGTTAACCAACCATCCTGAATTTCCAAACTGGATGTTGCCTTGCCTGTGTCAAACTGACATTTTCAGAGCATATGACACCATTGGTGTGGATAGTTTGGTGTGTGGTGAGACTGCACTACCTGTAGCACTACTGTGCTACAGTCTATCAAAGTCACCATTGTATTTATCTATTTTTAATAGCAGAAAACACTGAGTGTGTGTTTTACAAGTGCCTTGTTGTACAGTCCTGCTCCCATGTTTCTGGAGCAGGATTAAGGAAACCAAACCTGGTGGGGCTTATCTTGCACTGTTATGCATAGAAATAAACAGGTTTTTTTTCAACAAAGGAGCCCAAGCACGGACTGAAATATATGCACTGTGAAGGACTGGCTTGGGAACCAAGGTGAAAAGCTATTTGACAGTGCAGTCATTCTCTACCTGAGTTAGGGAAAGTGTTTTTTTTTCATATCCATTTCCATTCACTTGGACAAATGGCTCAGACCCATTTTAAGTTGGACGATGCTACTTATCTTTTTTTAAAAGCTCTTTAGGTTTCAGTCTTGATTGCATAGTTTGTAGGTGTAGAAGATGTCATATTGGAAAATATTTGTCTCCTAGGACAGCCAACGTTTCTAACCTCTGGATGTATCATACAATATTCCTTGTCTCTTCCAGGAACTCGAGCTCCCAATGTTGAAAGTGGCTGCGACAGAGATTGTGTCTGGAGTGTCAGGGGAATCTGAGCAGAAACTGAGAGAATTGTTTGAGCAGGCTGTGGTGAGACACCCATTGGAAATTGCACTGTGAATTGTTTATCTTCTTCTTTGTAAGGATTCGAACTTTGTTGCTGTGGTTTGACTTTGGGTGAATATTAGTGAGTGAATCCTTATACTGCTGCACACATGACTTGTCTCCCCTCCTGTGAGCAGAATTCCATTGTACTGTCGTGATGTCATAGGGCACAAAGCTTACTATTCTGAAGCCTTGACAAAAGATAGTTCATCATAGCAATGTAAAGAGAGCAACAGAAATTATTTACATATTTGGAGCTGCTTGGTTTGATATATAAAAAAACAAAATAAGAGCGGTTGATTGTGCTTTTTTGTTACAGGTTTTTTTGCTAGTTTTGTGTGGCGTGGAGTTTGAGTGAATGTGAGACACTTTGGGGGTCTAAGTATAAAGTAGAAAATTTGGAACAAATATGATAAGAGCATTAGACAAGGTACAGTTGAAGTCTTGCTTTGGTGTGACTTCTGGACATACTAAGAAGCAATGAAAACGAGACAGGTTGATATAATTTTAATTTAAACAAATGCAGATTATTTTTTTACTATGTGGCTAGTGTTTTACTTCATGAAGACAGTTTTCTGTTTCTGACCTCTGAGAATGTTCTGGTTTTCCAACTTTATTCCATTTTTCTACTTTCCCTCATGACTGCATGTAGGTATTTAAAGTATTTTTCTGTAAAAAAAAGAATGCTAAACGGGGCAAAAAGATTGCTTGTGAAGCTGTTCATTTGTTATGTTTCCAGTTCATACAGCACTTTCATTTTTAGAGAGCCTTGTTAAGATGTTGTTTAGAATAAAATTAAATAGTTTATGGGAAAGAGTTTTTAGAAATTACATATCTTTTATATGTCAAGTGATCGAGGGGAGATTATTGTTGCAGAATTTACATCTATTGCATAAAATAAGCTTAAAAAAAATCTAACTTTTTCACTCAGTTTTGGTACCAGTTTTTGTGCAGGGATAAAAGACACGATTCCACATTATGCAGGTTCTGTGGAATCTTGGTGGCTTTTTCCCGTCTGTCAGACAGTGGGAAAGGGAGTGACCAGTAGATGGCGCAGCTGGTGCCTGATAACACCCAGTGCGTGGGGTGTGCAACCCGGTTTTTTTATAAGGGACTCCTTTGGAAGATGATTCCAGTATTTTCCTTAAGTATTCCTTTGTACTACTAGTGCTTTTTCTGAATATTAATAATCTTTTGTCAGTTAAACACCATTCTGTTAGTTACACAAATTATTATTCCAAATTAGTGTTGACTTTTTATGGAGTATGTGGGATTTTAGAACACTTGTAGGAGTTTCTCACTGCTCATTCTTACTTTTTGAACACGGTCAGGCTCTGTAGTAGTCTTGAAGTTACATGACCACATGACCACCTACTGCTCCTTTTGTTTCATTATGTGTGTCAGTAACATTAGCTCTTGGAATTCCACAGCTCTAATGTCATTAACAAAACAAACAAAAACCCAAACCAGACCTTTCTTGTGTGGTTTTCATTTATGGACTTAAGCAGTCAGTCACAATGGAATATTTGTGGGGAACATAAAGCAACACAGAGGTGTATTTAAATTTTAAACAGCGTGTAGAGACATTTTGAATCTCACACCTTAATTATTCCATAGGCTCAGCTCAGCACAGTTTCATAGTCTGGTGACTTTCCAGATAGTCAGAAAGAACAATAGAATTGTTCCAGGAGCAGTTGATTGGGCAGCAGATTGACAATAATAATTATAGATCAGTAAATAGGAAAAATTCTTTCCTGTAATACACCCTGCCAGTGTCATTTTGTAATTATTAATATTTTTTGTTCCTAGTCGAGTGCACCGTGTGTCCTTTTCATTGACGAGATTGATGCAATCACCCCAAAAAGAGAAGTTGCATCCAAGGACATGGAGCGCAGGATTGTTGCTCAGTTCCTGACTTGTATGGACGGTCAGTCTCAGGAACATCTGTGCTAAGCTCAAATTTCTGATTATCAGGCTCACTGTCTGCTTTACTTCAGTAGTGACGTGTTGTTACTTTAGAGGAGCTAGTGGTAATAATTTTTCATGTTTTGGCACTGTGGGGAGCAGTGGGAAGATTCTTATAGATTTGATATTATTTTCACAGTGGTCTGTCTAGCATTATATAAGGCTGTCTGTTGCATAAGCAGAAATAATGGAAATATCTGTTGAATTTAATTTGAAATGCTTATTTTTGCTCGATTGTTCAAAATGCAAGTTTTAGGTAGTAGAAATAAAGATAAACAGCAGTGACTGTGGGTTAGTTTATCTGTGCTGAGTGTTATCATGTGCTGCAGAAACAGAGTCCCACAGATACTGGAACAAAGTTGGGACAGTGAGCATGAGTATTAACTTCCTTCCTTCCTTCCTTCCTTCCTTTAGACTTGAATAATGTGGCTGCCACTACCCAGGTCCTTGTTATCGGAGCAACAAACAGACCTGACTCCCTGGACCCTGCGCTGAGGAGAGCTGGGAGATTTGATCGAGAAATTTGTTTAGGGATCCCAGATGAAGGGGCAAGAGAAAAGTATGTTACGAACTTTAACCTTATTTATGATTAGTTAGTAATTATGGAAGTAATGTGTAAGTTAACATATGAATTAAAGAAAAGTACTTTATTATATTTTGTCCTATTCGTGCCTGTTCACACCTGTGGATCAGCACAGACTAAAAAGTGCAGAAGACATTGTGTGCATCTACTCTTTGTCTTGGTAGCTATGTCTACATTTGGAGTAGTTTCCTTTCTTGTGTGCAAATCTGCTTTTAGCATTACGTTAAGGGGTTTTCAAGTGCCTTAGCAGTATAGATCATGGAGTCAAATGTATATTTTTTTCTTTTTCAGGAAGTTAACATTCTGTCTTTGGTGTTCCCTGTGTAACCATTAAATTAGGAACATAAGTATAGCCCATTTTTTAGTCCTCTCAAGCACATACCTTAAGCAACAAACCTAGAATCTTCATTCCAGTCCTCATGGAAATACACCAGTCCAGGCATTAAGCTGAGCTGCATCCTCTGTTGTGTAACTGGCCCTTTTTTCTCCAAAGAGCTGTGACTGTCAGATTAGGTTAAAAGTAATAAATCTGGTTTTATTAAAATTAAATTAAATTAAATTAAAGGAACTGCTACTCATTTCCACAACAGCAGAAAACACAGGAAGGGAAGTTTAAAAACAGCTGTGGGTTATCTTGTTACAGAAAGGAAAGGAAAGTTAAAGGATAAGTTCCTTCAACCTCAACTAATCATATTTCGAAGTTGGTTTTTGTTTGGATTTTTTTCCTCCCTTCTTTCAGATCTACAGCCCTATAGGAATTATGGTCCTCTTTGTTGTGGGAAAACACGCAGATAGTTAGAGGCAGAACTAAAGAGTTAACTGATGAGAGTTCTGATTCTGTGGTAGTTCTTAGGATCGTGTTCAAAGTGATATTCCCAGAAATAGCAATGCTTTGAAGGACAGGAGTTGTGAATGGCAAAGTCATTGTAGTGTGTAGAGATTGTTCACAGGCTGGAGAGTAGTCGTATTCGTTCGTACTATTGTTTTGTACAGTTGTTTGTATTTATGTTCCTGGAGGTGTAGGCTTACTGTTGATTTTGTTTTCTTTTTAAATTATTCCCTCCCACCCTGCTTTTCTGTTTTGTTTTGTTTTGACAGGAAGCATGGGGACGATGCTGTTCCTTTATTTTAAAATGAAAGAGTTGTAAAGAAACAGAAATCCTTATAATGTGCTGACTTAGGATAAAGGAGTCTTGCTGAAGGCAGACTTTGAACTGCTTAGTTGAGGTTCCACAGCCTTAGCAGGGTGGAGTAGGATGAGGATCTGGAGATCTTGCTTTACTTGCCATGTTTTCTTATACATGTATGAAGCCCACGAAAGAAAGTAATATCTGTAGGACACAAGTTCAGAACGAGCCATTTATAGTTCTTAACTTTTTGCACTTTGACTCAGTTGATTAGCTACAGCTGCTGTCAGACAGGTTGAAAAATTCTTGAGAACCACACCAATATCACTAAAAAAGCTTTAAAGGAGAGAAGATGACTCTTATCAGTGGGGGAGGCAAACAGATGGAACATTATAATTTCAGAGTTTTGAATAGCTTAATCATGTGTTTCTTTCATAACTTTTCTGTAGTTTCATTACTTGATCTGGAAATAATTTAAACTAGTTTCATGGGAACTAGAAAGTATGTTACTGATCTTCACTTCTTTGGTTTGTGCTGCCTCTTTAAAATATTTTCCCAATGAAGTGATGTTTTCCCATTTTAAACAAGTCGATTTGATCCCTTTCCTCAGAGTTCTGCCAGTTTCTGTGAAGTGACATTGGCTTTTGCATTTTTTTTTTGACCAGCCATTTTGTTTTCAGTTGTCCTTGCCTTGGAAGAGCAGCCAGAAGTCTTGATGGACCTTAAAGAAGACTTTAAAGCTTCAGCTTTGATACGGAGTGAAAAAGCTCCCATTAAAAAAAAAAAAAAGTGCAGAGCTTGGCACTTCACTGTCAGTTACATAAAACTGTTTTGTATTAGTGAGGGAACTACATAAGTAGGTGTAACTTTAGCTTTTGAGCGAGGATGAGGTAACACACGAGTTGCACACATAAGCTGTGTGCACAGTAAAACTATTGGAAGTTTTACTGGGGGTACAGGAAATATCTGCTGACAAATTCCACTGACAATGGCCAGGGAAAGATACTGAAGGTTAGAAGATAGGGCGCCACACAGTCTGATTTCATTTGCTCCTTGCAGAATAGTTTGTCATGAGTGTTCTTCAATACATAACTAAAAATAGGATGGAACAGACTATGCAGACTAATGTAGTTAGGAACACAAAGTTAAATATCTTAATGGATAACTTGTGTGCATCTCTGTGGTACACTCTGAGACCTAGTCTGTCGATTTGGAATCATAAACTGAAGTTTAAAGAATCTGTAATACTTAGATTCACCAAAACTGGCTTTTACCCACCGGTCGGCATTGCCTGGTTGATGCTGTTAGTTTTGAAGAAGTAAAAGGAAATATATAGCACATTTTTGTGGATTTCAGTGTTCGTTACTTCATAGTTGAGCGAAAACTTCCCGCTGTACTTTTTCAGTTCAGGTGGACTGAAAGAGTCCTTAAATCCATGCTGTTTGTTTTCATACATACTAAAAAAACAAAGCTACAGCTTCACCTTTTCTTTTTTTATTCCCTCTACTCAATTAGAATTCTTCAGACTTTGTGTCGAAAACTTAAGCTCCCCGAGTCCTTTGAATTCCGTCACTTGGCACGGCTGACTCCGGGTTATGTGGGAGCCGATCTGATGGCGCTGTGCCGAGAGGCAGCGATGTGCACAGTGAACAGGGTCCTGATCAAATCTGAGGAACAGAGAAGGAAACACGCACAGGCTGGAGGAAACACAGCTGAAGAAAGCATGGGAATGGGAGCAGACATCCTGGCGGAAGAGGGCACCAAACAACTAGAACTTCCTCCTAAGGTATTTATTCCTTGAAGCATGTATTTCTAATGTCTGAAGGGTTGAGCCATTTTATAATTATAAAAGTCGTTGCTCATGAATTTTCAAACATCTATGGCCAGTGTAATATTAAATTTAGTTTTAGAGATGTCAGCTACTAAGACAGGAGCTTAGCTCCTAATGACCCATGTAATGGGTCTGCATAAGTGGCTCTCAAAACCCAGTCCTCCTAAAAGTCACATTCATGTTTTATACAAGGTGTGGTTTTTCCACTGGATTTTTTTGTTGTTGTTTGTGCTGTGTTGTTTTGTTTTCTAGCAGAGCAGAGGCTAAAAGGGCAGCTGTATCTCTCTTCAAAAGTATGTCAACTGTTAACAGAATTTTAAAAATATTAGACTTGCACTGAGTTTTCTGCACAAGCTACTTGCTGTGCCCTCAGTGAAATCTCTATTATGATGCCTGGGGTTCTTCCCTGACTTGGTCGAGTTAGAGTAAATATTTAAGCAGTCTGCGTTTTCCCTCCAGCTATGTGTTTACTTGAGGTAAATCAAATTTGTATCTAGTACCTGTACCAAGTTTGAGGAAGAGATGAGCTGTTAATTTGCAGGACACCTGGAACTCTGTTGCAGAAAATAGCATTTCTAGTGCCAGAATTATTCTATGGCCCAAGTAACATGATGTGGTTAGTGAAACACAACAACGTTATATAGAAATCCTTGGGCCTATTTCTCAAAACGTGGAGTCTGTATGTGCCTTTATGATGTGCAGGCTTCCTAAAGATTTGCCTAGAGAAGTAAAAAAAAGTAGGCTTAAATCCACATTGTACTTAGATTTTGTTTTTAGAGGGACTGACAAAGAAATCTGTTACCGTAATTGCAAAATCCAGTGTAAAAAGCTGTAGTAAGCCTTTGTATTACTGTAACATAACCATACTGCAAACCTCCCAGTGTTTCCTGGGGCCTGATGCAGCCAAAAGAAAGTGGGGAAGGGCAGGTAGTTGCAGCTTTTATCAACATCACCATCATCAAAGGGGTCATTGAGAATGAGGAAGTCTAATCCTAACAAAGCCATATTTTGATAGCTGGCAGGAGGTTGACATAGTCTAATACAGGGTATTGTCATTAAAACCCTTTTATTATGTTTATAATGGAAAAATAAACATACAAAACCTTTAAAAATCATTCACACAATTCAAGTAAACAAACCCAGTGGTCTTGGCTATTTCAGAGTTTCTCTTAATGGTTCTGTTAAGAAGAGGAGGGAGGGCTTAAGAGGGATATCAGACACTATAAAGACTTCTGTTTCTTTTTGTTCAGTTGTAGAGCTGTCCTGGTTGAAACTGATAGGAAGTGATACTTTTCCTGTATACCGCTGTAGGAAAAGTGTTGAAACTTAACAGAATTTTTACTTTTTTCTCCCTCTATCTTATAGTGAAAATCCTGATATAATTTTACTCGTGATGCAGTACCAGTTTGCTTTGATGCTGCCTCTGTGTATTAGAACAGTATTTATGTATTTATGTTGCGAAGGTATAAAGTTCTTGGATTAAGTATTTTCTAGGGTAAGGAACTTCCCCAGTAAGGAACTGACTGGGGAAATTGGAACTTACCTCCTTGGGGCACTGTGGTCTGCAACGTGGAACAGTGTAGAAAAGCATTACCCTGCATCTCTGTTCTGTTTGCCCAAACTTAATCAGGGTTTGATTACAAAACCGGGTCTAATCAGGCTGAGGAAATGAGTTGATGACTTGAAATCAGACTGTGTTAAATAAAAGTGTATATTCTAGAAGTGTGTTAAGAGTTTTAAAGGTTTACTTGTAACTGAATATTCTGCAAATTGTTGAAATTGTGCTGTTCAGCAGAGTTTTTCACTTTTCTCTTGAAAGCAGTTTCTTGTTAAAAACAGAATTAATACATGTAAATAATACATAGTTTGGAAATTTCAGCATGGAAATAACTTTCTCCTAATCGGTGTGGGAGGAGCAGTAGGAAGAATTGGAAGACAAAATACACATGCTAGCTCAGTTTCTGTATATCTAAATCAAGATTTTAGCCTCACTGAGTGCTTTCACTTGTGCTAAATGTACACAGAGCTTTCCTGGAATGTTTTTATCATTATTATGTAGAGTACACATAAAATATGTAAATCACTATTACTGTGGTTGATAGTTGAAGTGTTGCTTTGAAAAAGCCCTTAAAATGGTTCTTGAAGTCCAGTCTAGTGCATAATCTTTTTGTTTTCCTTTCCATGTACCCTAAGGATGAATTGCAGAGACTTTTGGATTTGCTGAAGAAGCAAGACCCCTTGCCTGAGGAGCAGCTGCAGAAGCTGTGCATTGAGATGAATGATTTTATTGTTGCACTGTCATCAGTGCAGCCCTCTGCCAAGAGAGAAGGCTTTGTCACAATCCCTGATGTGACATGGGCAGATATTGGAGCCCTGGAGGATGTTCGGGAGGAGCTGACTATGGCAATATTGGTATGTCTTAACCTTACTTTCAAAGATTTCTTGCACTTCCCCTTATGCAGGAAATAAAACTGTGTTTGTTTTTAAAATTTATTTCAGGCATAATGTTCTGCTCATGAATTCTAATGTGCAACAAACTAGAAATTTTGCAACATCTTTATTTAAAAGAGTTAGGCTTGTGTAATTTGCTTTAAAATTACCTGTATTTAAATACATGTAAAAGGGCATGTATTTAACATTTTGCTTTCTGTATTCATGCTTGCAGTGTGTTTGTGTTGCTCAATCTTTAAGTAGTCTAAAAGTGTTGTACCACCAACCTTGGTTATGCAACTGCCAAACAAAGAATTGGAGGCTGCTTAGCTGGAAGCTTAGCAGTTTTGCTGCCAGAGGGTTTCTTAACATGAGTACCTTAAGATTAGAACTTGGGTAAATAAAATCTTTGCCTCTCAGTAACGATACTTCTCCCATTTTGGGGTACTTATTAGTGCAAGATAATAAGATGCCGATCGACTCTTTATTCTTTTAGCCTATAAAGAATTGGAATAAAGAACTTGCTTATGAATGATTTTTCGTCCAACTGTGCCTGAAATTAAAAGTTTGATATTAGCTTTATGTCACAGGTAACTATGATAATTTCTTTTTAGGCGCCTGTGCGAAACCCAGAGCAGTTTAAAGCTCTGGGCCTGACTACTCCAGCTGGTGTCCTGCTGGCAGGGCCTCCAGGATGTGGCAAAACACTGTTAGCTAAGGTAAGACATTTTCTAGACATAGTTAAAAATACTGGAGAATCTTCTTGAAGTGGATGGTTTTGTAGGAGTGACTGAATCTGCATGGTGGTGCCAGAAGTTGGGCTTTTGTACCAGTTCTCATCAGAAAATTAAATTTAGGCCTCTGTGCTGAAGTTATTTGATTTTCTTGTCATTAAGTTACAATTTTGCTTGAATTGAGAGGGAATTACTGCAAAACTTGAAGGAATAAATTGATTGAGAAGAGAGAAGCAAGGATGAGAAGAAACTCTATTGAATAACCACTTCTATGGAATATTTCACTGTAACTAAATTATATATTTGGAAGTACTCTACACTCTACTGTACTTATGTAATTGTTGTATTTACCTTACTGAAAATACTTTTGTTTTCCTTCATGAGCATTTCAGTTCTTACAGGCCCTCCATGTAAATGTAGATAATTGTTCAAGTTTCAGATTGTCACTCACCTTTGTCTTCAGATGCTCTTATGTAGTTTCATATCTCCTTAACTCCCACTAATTATTGAGAATTCTTCAACTGATATGAGAGGGGATGGAGTGTGAATCTGGAGCACTGCCTCATCAAAGAGAGAACACCTTGCTAAATTCCCTGCTCCCCTCCCACTCTTAATTGCATGTAATTATACTTTGTACTGTTTTCTGTATTTTACAAACAGTTGATAACTATGTTCCTTCCCTTATGTTTGTTTATTGCTTCATGGACAGAACCAAAGAAGCCATGATAAATGTGTGTTTTACATATATGCATCTCTCTTTGCCTTTTTGATAGGCCGTGGCCAATGAGTCTGGACTGAACTTCATATCTGTGAAAGGTCCTGAGCTGCTAAATATGGTATGTGCTAATCATTGTGCTTTTGTTATTTATGGAATTCTTGTCCAAAGTGGGGCAAGGAAAATTCCTGGTAATCACACAACTGATACTGGTACAACTAAAGTTGCCTTTATTTAACCTCAGCTTTAAGTTTTTAAGCAGTGAAGTTGTTCATGTGAAAAGGAAAAAGCCATCTGTGTAGTTTAAGTATATTTATTGGTTTAAATTACCGGGCAGATGGAGCCTTCTTGACTAAAGTAGGATATCTGAATAACCAATTAAATGCATCACTGCTTATGTAGCATGTAGATTTTAAATGTCAAGAGATAAAAGTGCTCTAGTTCAAATTTTTGCAGCACTGGGCTTAGAAGTGTTGTGATATAACTTCAGTCTCTTTTGGAGTCAAGAGAGTGTGTTTAACTGAGCAAGACGTCTGCAGCCCACATCTCAAAAGATCATGGCAGTGATCTGTTTATCAGTAATGTGGAAGCCAAAATCAATATACTGGATTTGATTAATCTCTTCTCAAACACTTATTTATGTGTATTTCAAGTACTGATACAGGCAGGAAATACAGCACTTATGTTAATTAGGAGCCCTATTTCCTGGTGGAATGCAGCGAAAATGGTTGGCTGTGATTCAGAGACTGTGTTAACACATAAATTGAATCAAAACATGTTTGTGTGGAAAAAATTAAGTGTTTGCATTTATAGTTTTGCAGCCCCTGCCCCTACAGTTCACCATTCAAAGTGAAATGCTGGCTGACTCTTCAGTTCCCTACTGCCAAGCCTGTGTCTTCAGGCAACCACTCTATGAACTTCAGATGTTCATTGTGTTCACATTGCTCACTGGGTTTGTTCGTGAACAGTGGAACAACAAGGTCCTTAATTAAGACCGTATTTGTTAGTTCTCATCACCAGAATGATGGCAAGTTACATTTATTCCCCTGAAAGGAGGAATTCTATTAAACTCTGAATGTACTGCAAACTGTAAAAAGTGAACTAGTGATAATTAGTTCCTGTGTAAATCTTGATCAGTAGGGAAACAGAGATAACAGATTGTTACCAGAAGCAAACTGGTTAGTAGGTTGCATTTCTCCCTTGCGAAGTACCTCATATCTGTTTAAAACTATGATTTCTTTTTACCCAAGCAAAATCTTCATGTCTTACATTGTTCCAATGTAATTTGTCTTTCTTTTTATTTTTTTTAGTATGTTGGTGAAAGTGAACGTGCTGTACGTCAGGTATTCCAGCGTGCCAGGAATTCAGCCCCTTGTGTTATATTTTTTGATGAAGTTGATGCTTTGTGCCCTCGGAGGTCTGACCGTGAAGTGAGTCTGTCTTAAAATATCTCCATATCTCCATAAATAAATAATTTCAGTTGCAGCTTTTTTTTTTTTTTAGCCACGGAAGTACCCAGAAGGTATCAGTATCTCACAAGAAAAGCAATCTCTTAGGCATTCTGTTGTTTGAGGAAAAATATTTTGGTCAAGTTTTATAAAGCTTAATACTTTTTTTAGTACACCTATATAGAGAAAATATCCAGAGAGATTCAGGTTAAGCTGTTGAATTTGGTTATAATATGTCACTACTATGGAGTTAAATGTTAACTCTCAGTAGCTCATCTGATACTCTCTTTCAGAGGTTTAAATATTTGAGAACTTTTTTTCTCCTCAAAAAAATGAATACTGAGAAATTTTGTGTTGTCTTTTTGAGGTAGATGTCAGAACAATTAGTATAAATACTTGTATGTACTTCTTCAAGTGAGCACTTTAGTTTGAATTGGAAAGAAGAGGTTTGCCACATGTTAAAAGTGTGTGTCGGGTGTATAGATAGCATGAATTTGGGATGGAAACACGCTAAGAGTAGGATGGAAGGAATCCAGAATGCAGCTACAGTGAAAGTGTGAAAAAGAAACTTTTTCTTTGAGTAGTATTTCAGTGCAGGGAGCTAGTAGATCTTTTGTTTCTTTTACTTTGAAATATTCACATTCCCACCATTTCCTCAATTTTGTTGACAAATTTCTCCTTTTAAAGTCAGGAGCCAGTGTCCGAGTAGTTAACCAGCTGCTCACCGAGATGGATGGTCTGGAGAATCGTCAGCAGGTTTTCATTATGGCTGCCACAAACAGGCCAGGTAAGGACCCAAAAATCATAAATGAGAAATCAGACATCCTTGATTCTCTTCTAATGAAATCCCATGTTCTTAAATATTTGAATTCTGTAACTAAGCTTGTTCTGTCCTTAAAATTACAGTGTCTGCTCAAATCCAAACCTTTTCTGCTCTGTTAATCTGTGTCATGTTCATGTGGCAGTGTGAGATGAAGCAACTTCTTTAGAACGTGTCTTAATTAGCATGTGGTACCACTGCTGTAAAGTGCTTTGAAAGACCTTTGACTGCTTTGAACTTTGCATTATCTCCTTGGAACATAAAAGAAGAACAGAGAACTAAAATGTAATTTATGTAATTTTTTAATTCTTAAACTGATTTTCTGTCTAAAGCAACCTTAGACTCTCAAGCCTTCTACATGGTGAAGGATGAGCAGTAGGTGCTTAAATCTGTATCTGCTTGTACCAGTTCTTTAATTTAAAGTGGTAAATTTTCCTGGCATGAATTTGATGATCCTGACTTATCTAATCCAATGTAGAATAGAGAGTAAGGTTATACAATGTAGCCCATCTATATATAGATGCAGTTGGATGTACCAAGGGTGTTCTTACCAGTGTCATCAAGTTGCCTTAGGAAAGAGATCTCTCCCTAAATTAGTTATGCTAGTGCAGGCATTTCTATCAAGCAGGCTTATTTATTCATGTTTCTCAAGGGTTTCATATCTAATTACTGACTTGTCATTATCTCTGACTGGTAGCTTGGGCTGGGAATTCCAACACTTCTGAAGTTGAGGAAGCATCCAGCTTTACTTCCTGCAGTTCCACCTCAGCAGGATATACACGAGGCCAGTGCTTTTAGGGCTGGTCTGTGTGTGTGGCAATGTTCTGAGCTCAGGATTCCTTTTGTGGAGGCAGCTGAATGCAACACTTCAGTAGCTTCACAAGGGCCAGTTTAGAATAAATGTTGCTCAGATGTTAATTTCGAGGTATGAATACTTGTTTGTGGCAGGTTTGTCCTAATTCCCCGATTTAGATTTACACTGATTCAGTACTTATGGGTCTCATTTTCATGCATATGTGAAATCTGTAGTGTTGTTAACCCCTCCCTTTAAGCCTTATACTGGATGCATTTTTACCATTAAGTTGTTATAAAGTACCTCTGGAATGGTTTGAGGATCTCTTTTTCTTTTTTCTTTTTTTTTTTTTTCAGTTTTAAGAAGTCTCTATTGCCTTGTTCAGCTGCAGTAGCAGATGTACTGTTTTACCATACAGAAATAGTTAAAACTACAAAACTTCCCTGAATAATGATGTTTGGACTAATATTTGAGGGCAGCTGGAAAATCTGTGAGGCATGAAATTGGTGGTGTATTACTAGTCAGTGACATCAATGAAAAAAAGTGAATTTGAGTTAAAAATGCCAAATGTAAAGAAAATGCAAAGGCAGGGATAACAAATACAATCATCCAATTAAAGGGTATAAATGTATCTGCAAATTCTGTAAAAGGAAATCAGTTTCATCTTGATAAAGATACAAAGAGTTGTTTTGCCAACATAATAAAATAATTTTTTCTGAATGAGCAAGCTTGGCACACCCAGCTTCTGCTAGAGGAGAGAGTTATTCATGCAGTTTGGATGGGATGGATCTCTTGCTTCAGAAGGACATCAGCTGTGTGTATGAATAACATTTTGGATAGGTTTAGACCATAAATTTTTCCTGTGATATCTGCATTTGTCAGTGTGAGAAAATACAGTTTCCAATTTATGCAGCTTTTATCAGAGCAACTTCTACTGAAGTTGGGGTTAAATTGGGGAAATGATTTTTCTCAGTTTATGCACTTTTTATTGGGCCTAGGGAAGAGGCATTGTTCACCAAATTAAAGTTTTCTAGTATGGTCTGGTTAGTTTATAGGAGCACACTGCAGGTAGTGTCTGTTCTAGCAGAGCACTCTTACTGCCCTAGGAATTAAATCTCTAAGCAGAGACCTGTAGGGGAAGCACAGCTTATACTGGCTACTATATTTAAATGATTCCCACAAACAATGAAAGTTGCAGTGCCTGAAAAGGTCTTTAAGTCTGACATTTGTATGACAGATTTTTCTGTCATAGTTATGATGAATAGAGGTGCTGGTGGGGGGATTGTGTTACATAAATCTGAATAATATACTATTACTGTGAAGTGTGAGTTCTCATGTTTTTTAATTGATGTTAGTGTAATTTATTGGGAGAGAAAATGGCTTTTCAAGACGCTTCTCTTCTAGAGTGGTTGCAGGCATGCTAGCTTTGAGAGTTGTTTGCTGGTACTGTTCATGTTAGTGTGTGTTGTTAGCACTGTCATCTCAGAGACTAATATTAAATAATAACAGTAACAACAACAATAATAACAATGATAATAATAATAGCAGTAGGATAGCAGTGGCTCAACCACCTTTGGCACCAAGGTATGTTCCTGGCACAGCAGTTCCAGTGTGGTGCTGGCATCTGTGACAAGGTATTATTGTGAAATGGTGGTGTTTTATATACCCCATATAAAGGGGGTTAGGCTCAAGACTGACAACTTCTTTTTTTTATAAGAGCTTTTAAGGACTTGGAAGGCTCTAATTCCTGTTTTACCAAAAGGGTAGGTAGGCACAGTAGATTGGTTCCTTTGTTTATCATATACAATCTGCAAGTGGTAATTCTTATTCTGGCAGTGCTGAAATAAGCCTTTGATGTGCCCTAAAAAGCAGGATATTTGGATGTTTTTTGCATTTACTCAGTGACTTTGAAAGTCCTCTGTAGATATTTCTTGACTACTTCTAAATTAGCAGGGATGCAGAATTCCCAACACGATCTCTTTCCACCTAAATGCAGAACCAATGTCAAGCTGTCTGAACAGGATTAAACTTTTAAGCACTCAATGTCATTAGAGAGAGAGGAAAAAAAAAGGAGGCAGAAATATCTTGTCCTGTTAGAACCTTTATGGGTCACAATTATTTTATTCTTTTTCAGTCTACTTCCTTCCCGAGATCTGAGATTAAATACTACAAAACCATCAAGTACTACTGTTAAATAATACCTATAATATCCCACAAATTTCTAGTTATCAATGTGAGTTTCAGCAGATACTGCTGCTTTCTGCTCTTCTCTTACTTCCCCAGGCTTTGAGCATTTATAAACTCTTAGAGAATTTACCTGGGATCTAAGGAATTGATGTAACATGAGGAAACGGACAGGAAAGAAGTGAAACACTACAAACTGACAGTGCTTTTAAGCTTGATGTGAAGTGTGATGATGTCTTTGCTTTTCTTCATGGCCTCTTCCTCCAGCTTTTTTTAATTAATTCTTGTAAAATTCCCTGCCTGCTCTTGTCTTTCAGAATGGTCCTAGTTTCAGTGAGTTCTGTTTTTCTTCTAGCAAGTTTGTCAGTTTTCTAGAGCTGTTCACCTGAACCACGTGTTTTGAAACACAGTAAAAAAATCTTCAGTCTTTGACAAGTTACGGTTTTGTTTGGGGGATTGTTTGTTTGGTTTTTTTTACCTGTTTATACATGTTGCTGAATTAAAGGCAAGATAAGATCTAAGAAAAGCACTTAATACATGAGGCATGGAACAATTTCTTTCATAATAGTTCCAATTCACATAAATTATATTTCTGCCTTTCAGCAGCCCTTGAATGTTACATATCTTTCACAGTAACTTCAGTTGTTAACTACAGTGTTCATCTGGAGTCTCAGAAAACCTTTTAGGGCTTCTGATCCTGCATTTCAGAACATCACAAATGTGAGGGCCTAGATCTCATATACTTCAAATGGGATTTTTTAAATGCTCTAGTAAGTACAGGAGAAGTTTGATGGGCTCAGCACAGTAGTCATTGTTGCTGGTATGCACTGAACTTCTGTAAATGTGGACTCCTGTAGGGTTAAGACATGAATAATCAACTGGAAGTTCTATTGTACAACAATAGAATGTCAAAATATAGGAATTCATGCAAAGATACTTTCAATAGAATTCAATGATTCTGTAAAATTTTGCAGTAGTTTGAAGAGCAGTGTAGAAAAGTGAAATATTACATAATTCTCTAAAGATTAGTGCCTGTTTTAACCTTTTAAAATAAAGCAAGGGATGGATATACTCCAAATGTCTTCTTATGTAATTTTGTCAAATTATTTGGAAAATGATACAGTGTCTTCTAATGACACAGTCAATGCCATTGACCACGTCCGAAAGACAGAAAATTATTAGTTGGACATTTCTCTTAGTAGAAGTATAGTCCTTCTGTGAGACAACCACTTGGAAAAAGGAGTGTTGTGTTTTATCACATTTCCATGCTTCGCTTTCCTTCCAACTTGAGAGATAATAATAGGCTTTGAAAGAGGTATCTATGATAACTACCTTAACTTCATTAAAATGTTAAATGTATCTAAAATGAGTTGACTCTCTTCTGTTTAGATAAGTTTTGAGATAATAGATATGGAGAGAGCATTATGATTTATCAGGGTGGAATGCTTTGAAATTCCTAAAAGGAGAACATTATTCAGTTTTTTTAAATGGATATGAAGTGGATCTAATGAGTAAATTTGTCCAATAAGTAAATACTAATTTTCTGGGTTACGTGACATGAATTTTCAAGAACTTCAGGCCCAGGTCTCAACCAGAAGAGTGAAGTGAATGGATTCCTAAGGAGATGGGGAGTGTAGGTCTGTGTTTTCAACTTTGGTGTGGCCTTGTTGTTGTAAACCACCATTACTGCAGCTTATCTGGTTAGTGTGAGTTGTGGTACCTCTTTGAATGCGGGCAATGTTAACATTTCCATGCAAAAAGAGGAATGCATCTTTAGACTGTATCACTGACCTCATGCTGTTGGACAAATAGCATGGCAAGTACCATGTTCTCAGCATGCAGAATGGAAACAGTATTTTCTGTATCAAGCTTAATATTTTTAAAGAGCTTTTGGAACTTCAGAATGGGAAAATTGTCAAGTGCACGTTGTTGTAATGCAATCCTCATTGAGAGTATTTTTTTTGAGGTTTGTAATTGATATGTTGAGTGAACTTAGTCATCTTATATTAATAATGTGACAAGACTTCCATCCACAGAAACACAAAAACAGGAAAGTGCACTTGTGCCAAAAGCAAGATGCACAAACATATAAGTAACATGTTTTTGTCTGGCCTGCTGTGGCAGCGATTCTGTTTAACTCTTGTTTTATCTGGTCTGGATTAAATTAATACATCAAGGCATTCCTTTTTTTTTTTTTCACCATTGTTGTTGCATTTGCAATAGCTGATTTTTGCCTCCATAGATGCTTCTGCACATGATTGCTATACCATGGGAAAAAAAAAATATGTTTTTGTCCAAGAGAAAGATAATGGAGTTGTCCTTTAAGCATAAGTGAGAGAGTAACTTGAACAAGACTATGAGCATCTCTAAAAAGTGAATCAAGACTGTATTATAGTAGGATCAAGTAGTCCAAGTCTTGACAGTGTTAAACAAGCTTTTTTCATTTGCAAAAATGGGATAGCTGTGCTTCCATCCTGCGGTTTTAGGGCTTAGGTGGTGTTCTCTTTTCTTTAAAACATCTGTACCGGAAGGATTAACAACTTCACTTTTCCCAGTTCTTCACTGTTGGTAAACCCAAATGCACATAGTTTGTCTGTCAGCTACATTTTGTCAAGAGGGTGTAACGAATGTGAGGGTGTTGGCAGCTTTATTTGGAGGCCTTGATAGCTTCCAGTTTAAGACTTAGATGTAACTATCAACTGTTACTTCTGGGAAAGGTTCAGGCAACAGGTACCTCACACATCCTTATAATTCACGTGCTTAAAACCAGTCTGTTATAGTAAAAGTACAGTTTTATTTATATCTTCTGTGAGTGCTTTTGTGGCTTTGCTGTTCACATTACTGTGGCATGTAGGATATAGAGTCATAGAATCATTAGGTTGGACAAGAATCTCTAAGGTCATCAAGTCCAACCATTAACCTGGCACTGCCAAGTCCACCACTAAACCAGGTCCCTGAGCACCACATCTACATATCTCTTAAGTACCTCCAGGGATGGTGACTCAATAGAATTCCTTAGTGAAACAGAGCAATTAATATCATTATTGGTTTTTGGTAGATGGGGAAATAAGGCATCGAGAAGCCTTCAGAAACATAATGCAGGCAGTTTGTGCTGAAGTACAGAAAGGAATTGAGGCCCTTCACAGGTTATATGCCCTGTTTGTATCTGTTGTTATACCAGTAGTCAATATATCCTGACTTACTGTTTGTGGATATTCAGTCCACAGCCTGTGGTGCTAAAAGGCTGCTACACATTTCTGATATATTTAAGCTTTGAATGGTTGTCTAGAAACATTTGTGATAATTTTATCACAAAATAAATTAAAACAATAGTGTTTCTTACTTCTCCACACATAATAAATTTGGAGTCTGCAGTTCTTCCTGGGAAACAAATCCTGTACTTGGCAGCTATATTTTGTGTTTTCACGGATCTCCTATTTTACCATTCAGAAAACTAGTGTGCAGCAGAAATGCAAATGACCAGTAAAATTAAGTTTACATATGGATGGTTATGATTGGCCCTGTGTACTTGTTATTCTTGATTTATCACTGTCCCTTTCAAGCAGATTTGCAATACAGATAGAGTTCCTTCCAATAGAACAAACTGTTATGAATTAATGTGGAATTCCTCAGAAAAAATGTTCTACTTCTGTATTGCCAAATATAGAGTTGTATTCATTTGTGAAGAGATGAAACTGGTATTTATGAGCCATCGTTGAGCAGATGCAGCTTAACTGTACTGGGTAGTAGAGATTTCTACTTGACAAAGATGAAACTACTTCAGTCAGCCACTTCAATGCTCAGAGCTTCACATCATAGCACAAATGCTTCTTTGAATCCTGGTACACTTTTATGCGTGTGTTCCTTCTCATGTGTAGACTTTCCTAAGGGTGTGTCTCAGTTCTGGATGATTTTTTTCTTTTTTTCCCCTCCCTAAGATATAATTGACCCAGCAATCCTGCGTCCTGGTAGACTGGATAAAACACTCTATGTGGGTTTGCCACCACCTGAAGATCGACTGGCTATTTTAAAGACCATCACCAAAGTGAGTATTTGGAAATAAATCCTTATCTTGAAGTTGGGTGGAATGATTTGAGGCAAAGTAAATTTTACAAAGAATCGCAGGATCCTGTCTCGTGAAACACTTTCAAATATTACATGAGGTCATAAAAATAAACCATCAGCCCATCTGCTGTCAAATTTGCTGTGAAACTGCAAGGAGTTGATAAATCTTGAGTAAAGCAAACCTGTCAAACGTGGAAGCTGCTGCCTTTATGGTCACAGGTTGAATAGATTTAATTAAAAGATTCCTATCTGTGTGAGTTCTGGGCCTAGAAGTGTTTTCTAAGCTTTTTTTGGGGGGTTCCAGGCATTCACCAGAATGATTCACAAGCTCCAGCTGTATTTGCTCAACAGTAGTTGTGACATTTATTTGCATTCAGGATTAAAGGGAGCTTGTGGTGATAGAGGTTGTAGGTTAAAGTAAATGTGAAAATGTACAATATGTGCCTTCATGGGTCCTCCCTGTGGGTAACAGCACAATCTGCCACTTCAGCATTTTGGATTTTGGAATTCTATGTATTTCTCCAAGTATGGCACAGCAGTAATCAAGGCCTTAAAAAAGAACATACAAAGCATTATGAATTACTTGGATATTTCCTACTTTTCCAGTAGCTCAACACTGATTGTTAAGAGCAGGTGTTCTATCAGATATCTTTTTGAGCTGCAAAGGAGACAAAGTTTTCACTACAGGGGAAAGATAACACTGCATTGTGAAAAGTGTGGCAAAAATTATTTAATAAATTAGTAATAAAAGTTAATTCGGACTTGTGTAAGCTAAAGTTGTGGTGCAGGCAGTGGTTGATTCAGAATTCAGAGAGTGAGAACTCGTTCAAACATGTTCTTTCATGACAAAATGGTTGTTCAAAAGATGAACTCTCATTACAAATTCAGGATGTTAGACTTCCCTTCATTTGTTCTGTGCACTGCTTCAGGGATGAAAAAACATTAAGTATTCCCCCATTTGCTAGTTGCAGTAGATCAGTTTGTTTCTAAGTTTTATAAAAATATTTCAGTTAATACTTTCTACAACCGTGTTCATAAAGATGATTGACCTTTACAAGATGTTGAGAGAAATTGAGTGTAACATCCATGAATCATTTTTCTGTAAGGAATTATTATTTTTATTTTATTTGTTTTTTTTATTTTACAAAATTTATTTTTAAAGATAATTAGGTATGTGGGGAAATAGGGCAGGAAAGCTTGGTGTGAGACTTCACGGCGGGGGGGAAAGAAGATGGTATTAAACAGAACTGATTTCTCTCACTCTCTCACAGATTTCACCTGCTCTCACTCTCACAGCCACATATAGTGGATACACACATCCACCTAGTAGGGCTAGGATCACCTGTGGGAAATATGGAGGATAAGGAACTCTGTGTTGAGTCCTCACTTGATTTTTTTGGCTTCCTCTTGACTGGTGATGACAAACTGGTGGCTTGAGAGAACTGTTTTCAGTTTCCCTTTAAGAGTCAAACAGTTCAGAATTGTGCTTACTTCAGCTGCCATAAATCTTGGGTAAGGTTGCTGAAAAACATCTTTTGCTCCTCCTGGGAATCTTTGTGGCTACAGCCTTATCTTCCTGTTGGATAACACCACGAGGAGTGGCACATGGAATGTTGTAACCTTGTTATGATCCCATTGACAGAGTATTTTTGTCTTCTGCTGACAAGTAATCTTTGATGTGGCCTTATCTGTTTATGGGTCTTCTTGTGATATAAGCAACAAATTGCATCCTGTTTACCAGCTTGGTTTCTGTGGATCTTGTCACTGGTTATCAAGGCTTGTTATTTTTGGAATGCAAGATGCTTTCATGCCTACTGAATTCATGCTAGTCTGAACATTTTGGTCACAAGTCTTTGTAGTGAATGAGGTGTTAAATCTTTAAAAATGTGTAGGAGTTATCTGAAAGATGAACGTGGAATAGGGAGAGGAGAAAATGTGTTAAAATACCTCAATTTTTGTCAGATTTCATCCATGCATTATAGGCAAGGAAATTTGAAAAGTTTGAGTACGTGCTTGCGCAAGGCTAGAGAAAGAATGTTTGAGTGGCTTCTGGATGACAGTATGCATTCCCAGAAATCTCCAAGGAATACATGCACAGCATATGGAAACTGAGAACTGTTGCTGAATGAAAACATGGATGCTTATGAAGGCAGCATGAGGAGCAGAAAAGGGAGTTGGGAGGAGGAATAAGTCGTCAGGCAGACAGCCTAAATGTAGGTTGGAGCTTTGTTGTGAAAGAGTTTTGTTTCAGTTAACCTGTACAAATCAGTCATTTCAAATCGCATGTTAGTTATGCAAGAGAAGCCTGTCTTCACATGTTTGGGTTACCAGTGTAACATTCCTGCAAGCTGCATCAAGCTTCTCTGGTGCACAGACTGCTGAGCTTGTCACAGAGTAGGCAGAGCAAGAAGTGCCCAATGCATGTTGCTCCTCAAAGCCCTGGGTAAAACACTCCTTTTTAGCAGAGAAGGTGCCTCTGGCCTGCAGTTTCATACAACAGTTACTAGACTATCCCATATGAAATGGTATGAGGCTTCCTTGTTTCCAGGTTAAAGTCTCTCATTTTAGGATGTTTGGGTTTTGGTTTGTTGGGTTTTTTTTCCCTTTGTAACTGTTATTCTACCAAAGACTCATTCAAGATTCTTTCCTTACTGTGCCTAGTCCTTGACTATCCTAGTGTCTGTTAAGAATTCAAGGGGTTTAACTTGCCAGTTACTACAAACTGTGTTTTTTCCTCTTGAAGGTGTTGTGATAGATTAGTTCCTCTGAAGAAGTCAGAAAATAAGTATATGAATTTGTGCATTTTTGTCAAATGAGTTTCTGGCACAAACTTATCAATTGTATAAAAAGGTGTTCTCAACTGTCAAAACTCAAATATTGTTCAATGAGAGACATCTTGAATCCCTGCACTCTCATGATACTACTTTACTGTTGTCTAAGGGTAATAAGGGAGATCTCTAAGCTTATAGTGTTGGATTTTGTTGTCTAGTTTCAAATACAGTTTATAATGTTGGTCAATACTTTCTGCTGTTGGAGATGCAAAAATAATAACAAAACCCACTTCTGGGATCTTTCTGGAGGAAGCAGTAAGAACAGTATATGTAAACTTCTACGACATCTAGAATGGAAAACTTCTAAGTTTGAAAATTTATATCTGGAATATAAAAGATATACAGTTCATTCAGTCTTAAAAGTGATAAGACTAATTTTACATGACTCTTGCTTAGCTATTTGATTTCAACACATAGTAAAACTGGAGGAAGTTCAACTAAACAACACTACTGATGCAACCAGCTGTTATTAAAGGCACATCCCCCTATGGAACAGTGTCAGTGTTCCAATGCCCTGTGACAGACTGGTCAACATTTCCTTAGAGAAAATCTAATCTGTTGGTGGGAAGATAAAATTTAGCATTGCTTATTATTTCATAATTACATGGTTTTAAGCCTGCTTACCCTTCGTGTCAGTTTGAGATTAAATTTATTAGTGTTTAGATTAAATTTATTAGTATTTGTGGATAGTTCAGGAAATTGGTTAGACCCCAATATGATTCCTGATTAATGAAATTTAATCAATTCAGGGATGGCATGTATAAAAATGTTTTCCTGTCTTCTTTTTCTTACCTCAACTCCTTTAGGATGGCACCCGGCCTCCACTAGGTAGTGATGTAAGCCTTGAAGAAATTGCCTACAGTCAACATTGTGATTGTTACACGTGAGTTCCTTCTGGTTTTCACTTTAATATTTAATATGCAGTGCCAACGGTCTTCTGATGCATTTGAAAGTGTGTTATGTTGTTATTATTAAGTGGATCTCTTAATTTTCAGGTTTTATAAACTTTTGCCCTTAATGCTATTTTTCTTGCTTTTCACTTGTGCTTTTTTTCCAAGGAGTTGGTGGGAATATATGGATGCTAAAGTCTTTCTCATCTGGAATAGTCCTCGTCATGTTGTAAATACGGATCAGTGGAGGCCTCCTGATTTTGCTTGGTTTTATTTTATAATTCTTGCATAATCTGAGGATAAAAGAGCTCTCTTTAGGTTGTGGACCTATATACAATGATGATGAAAGCGAATTGGTCAAACAGCCATATCCAACTTGTTCTGTCACACAGCTGAAAGCAATGTTTGACAGAGCAATGAGGGCCCATTTCAACTTATGCTTTGGAATAGCAAGGTTTGGGTTCAGGGAAAGCTTGATGGCCATACCTGTCAGAACAATTTGCAATTACAGTCTATAAAACTTCAAAAAGCTTTAAGCTATTCACTAATTTATTAATACTTAATAATTTTCTGTAGTTCATAAACTATAAAGTTTATGACGTGCCACTTGTCGCAATATTACTTGGGAAAGATGAGTACTTTTTCTTTCTTTTTCACTCAGTGGACTTTTTTTGGTCCAGTGTGTGTGGGTTTTGGGCTGGATTTTTATTGTGGGGTTTTGGATTTTGTGTTTGTCATTTTTGATGTTTAGGTTTATTTGTATTTTGAGGTATGGCTTTGTTTTTTTTTGAGAGGGAGTTTGTTGTGGGATTTAATTTCTTTGGTTTGGATTTTTGTGAAATTTTTTTGTCTGGTTGGGTTTTGTTTTTGTTTTTTTTTAAATACAGCTGTATTCCTATCACCCCCAAATGAAGTATAGGGAGTTAATTGTGAAAATTTTTTTTAGTTCAATGACTTCACCAGTTTAAAGGCTTGTGAGAAGTTCAACAGCTTTCCAGCTGTTCCAGTAACAGGAAACTGGAAGTAAATACTTAAAAACACTGATCTGACCATGTTTTGTGGATACTGTTACTTTAGGAACATGTTAATTGTTGCTGCAGCTTTGAGCAACACAACTCCCTTTTGTAATAGTGATTTCATTTGAATCTTTCATAAGATTTATTAAAAAAAAAAGTCATGTTCCCACCAAGTGGCACAGTATTAATCAATCCCTTGGCATTTTTAAAGATGCTGAGTAGGATTTTTGCCTCTTCCCTTGCTTCCCATTTGTTTGATCTTAATCTGTGACTAATATCTGGAGGACGTCACTCCATAATGAAGGTTGCAGACTGAGTAGTCATCAGGCCTCTTTCCAATGTTCTTAAGATGAAGTTTTTTGACAGCACAACCAGTTTTTTACTGTCATTTTTAGTGTTTTGCCTTTCTATATGCCATCAGCAAAAGAAAGAGCACTTTATCCTAAAATCACCTGTTCTGTTTGTATCTGTAGAGGGGCAGACCTTTCTGCTCTTGTGCGCGAGGCTTCAATTTGTGCCTTGAGAGAGGAAATGGCCCTGCAGAATAATCAAAGCAAGAAAGGTAAGAAAGCTTTAAAAAAAATCTTAACAGTGACAAGATAAATGGAATGTAAAGTATTTAAAGTAGTTCAAGACAAGCATAAAGACATTTATGTATGTAACTAGTTGATGGCTTCTGAGCCAAATTAAAATTAAGTCAGAGCTGTTACAAGAACACATAAGCATCTTGGAAGTAAAGGTAGGGAAGAGTACAGGAAAGGTGGTTATGCTGAAGGTTCAGAAGAAACTTTTTTCTAAAAGAATTGAACCTTGTAGCCTTAAAGAAATGTTTCTGTTATAAACTGACAATTTATTTACTAGACTGAATACCTCTTTGAAAATTTCCACCTCGCTACAAAGACTGATGTATTTGCAGATTTGAGGGCAGTTGGAAGCAGCCCATATACTGATTCCCTACCTTTGGAACACAGTTGCATTGTGTAACTGGATAAAATTAGTTGGAAAATCTGAGTGCCACTTTTGATCTTTGGTGTTAGCTCATCAGTGGCTCCTGCCAGGACATTAACAGGGAGTTATAAATTGTTTCAAGTAGAGTGTGTGCCCTTTCATTATCTCTCTGCACTTTCTGTTTTTAAGTTCTATTTTCTTGTTTTTTTAAAAAATTATAGATTGAAACTTTATATAAAATGCCTGTCTGTCTAGGTTTCAGTAACTTTGTTATTTTACCTATAAGTCAAAATGCAAAGCTAAGATGGAGTTGTGACTTTTCAGATTATGTCCTTGGAAAATACATTAGGCTTTCATTATGCCCCTGATTTCTAAGAACCATGCTGGAATTTTAATGTCTTTGAATCATTCTTTTTGATCTAGTTCATATCCAGTCTCGTCTGGTTTTTGACAGTAGGTTAATAGAGGAGAATGTTTGTGTTCCTTGTTCTCAGGCAACCCATGTTCATTTAAAGGGAGGAAAAAAACAAACTATAAAAATCTTCCCCATTGTATGACTTGGTTACCTATTTTGCTTGCTGTAGATGGACAAAGCTCTTGATTTGAGATGAGAATTTATCCTGTTCATTTTGATAATTATACAGAATACAACAGGCTTCATTCAAAGATGTTCATCACTTGAATTCAGTGATTGCAGCCTGAGCACTCATGGTATGGATGTGTAGGCAGCCAGCAAGTCCATAAGATATGCATAGCTTGATCTGCATGTTTGTAGCAGCTGCTTGTTTGGAATGTCCTGGGATTTCCAAGGTGTCAGCCCTGACTGGTATGAAAGTGTGTAAGGTGGTTTCTAATTTGAGACCTTGATCATTTATATCCTCAAAAGGGTGTACACAGAGTGGAGAATTTCTTCCTTCACTGTTAGGACAGGACACACACAACTGACTCCCCTCCCACAGCCTGTGCTTGACTGTGGATGGGGGCTGTGTGTCCTCAGGGTCAGGGCTTTGCAATTATGGCTGTTCCTTTCTGTTCTGGAGAAACTCTGTTGCAACTTCTTGTTATACCTGATATTTTCCCTCTGTAATAAATTCAGGGGTGTGGGTTTTTTTAACACGAAGCAGTGGTTTGCTTGAAGGTCCTTGTAAAAGTGAAATGGAAAGGTATCCTTTTTGTGATAATTCTTAGAAGAATTCATGAATTCTACTTCCAACTTGAACAGGCCTAGGTGAGCTGATTATGTCATGAGCTGCCAGATAACTGCAGTTTGTCTCAGGGAAATTCCTAACAACTGCCAGAAGAGTTCACTATCATATGCAAACTTGGAGTTTCACTTCTGCCTCCCTTTTCCAAACCACTGAAGATGGTGCATAAAACTGATTCCAGCACCAATGCCTTAGACAAGTTCTCATTTTTAATGTAGTACCTTCCATTTGCTAAGTAGTCTTTTAGTATATTAGCAGAAGATTTTTGTTAAACTTGGACTCAAAATGTATTAATCTTTACAGTTTTTTCATGTTGGCACATCCCATTTCACATTGCAAAATAGTGGCAGTGAAAGCCAAGAGCATCTTGATGAAATAGTGGAAAAAATGCACAAAACTGATCCTAAAGTGTATAATTTGTATTTCTATCATATCTGATACCTGTGCATAGTGTTAGCATTGTAATGAATCTTTATAGCAGTGGCATCTTGGGATGCTTAGTTCTAGATTAAACAAGGTGATTGTTTGTGAAAGCAGAGGAATCCATGACCTATTTGATGTATGCTTACATACTGAAAAAACCTGTTCAAAAGGTTATTATTATGAATAATTACTGTGGATAGCTGCATTAAGGTCAAAAGGGCAATTTGCATAAACACAGGGAGTTGTAGAAGTGAAATTTTTAATCACTTCTGGGTAATGCCAGAGAAGGCAATGATATGAAGTCAGTTGTTTAGAAATTAGTACAAGTAGAGTGGTAACAAAATGTTTTCTAGGTACTTCCTAAATAACAGGGAAGCTTATTAAATATATGTAGAAAATAAAGTCCAGAACTGGAAGCAGCAGGATTTGAGACATTCCGTTCCAGAAAGGTTAAGGGACTTGATTTCTACCTGGATTTGATGTAAGCTGCAGTTTAACTCAGCATTTTTGAGAATGAAATTCTCAGTCTGCACGAAGAAACACCAATACCTAAAATAACTTTCTGAAACAAGTAGTTATTCTTTGGCTTAAGTTGCAACGGATAGAGGGATTAAGATCTTGCCTAAAATCAGAGACAGGAGTCTACATAAAATACAAGAGTTCAGGTGTTCATAACACTATTGAATTAGATCTCATCCAGTTGAGTAGCACATGCAGTTACTTAGGTTTCATGATTGCTGCCTTAAAATACACGCAACGGTCACTTGATTGTCACTTGCCTGCAATTTTAATAATTTATTATGCTTTGTTCTTTAAGGAGAAATCAAGATTTCCCATAAACACTTTGAAGAAGCTTTTAGGAAAGTGAAATCTTCAGTATCCAAAAAGGTAAGATAAGAGTGAAGTATGTAAGATGTGTTTCTCCCTGGAAAGGATACTGTTCTTATGCTGGAGACTGGAGGTCTCCAGCCTACTTGGTGGCAGCATACTTGGATGTATTTCAAACGGACACTACCTGTTTCTGCATTAAACAAACCTGGTATCTGTGTTAAAGTCAGAAATTAAAGCCTCCCTTTCCAGCTGCAGGTGATGCATTGCATGTAGATGCATTACCAAGATATCAAGGTTATCTTTTAGTATGGAGCCTTGGGCTTCTCACTGATCTTCCCACACTGGTGATTGACCTGGCCCTAACCTCTTATATCTGCTGAATTTTCAGTTAGAAGTCAAGGCCTTTAGACTGCACCACACCCTGCCAATACCTTTTCTTCCTTAGATGGATGTGACCCCCAAAGATGCTCAACCTTTTCTGGTCATGTGCAAGAGACATAATTTGGCCATAGGACATAAAATACACTTTATCATCTTAGTTATTTTGTATCAGTCTTTTCATTTTTGCATTTGTCAAGGAAGTTTGTTATAAATGTGTCCTCATGACCTGTTCTTTTTAATGACTGAAAGAAAAGCTGTTCAATCATCTTAATTATTATAACTGAGAAGTTAATATATATAGGAATTGTTATTGCTGCAGAGCTTGTCTATAGGCCTCTGTATGTTGCCAGGAGTGTGCTACAGCCAAAATACATTAATATATTCACTTTTAACACTAGCCAGGGAGGTTAAATCCATCTGAAGACTTGTCAGTTGGGTATTTTGAAATATCTTTTGCAGTACAAGATACTTATCTCTCATTTCCAGATGCTTCTTCCTATCTGCTAGACAAATTCAGTCTGACAAAACTCTAAACACCTTTCTATGAACACTGAAAAATTTTTTTAAAAAAGCTACTTGTCATTGATTTAGTGTATTTATCTCTTCCATCCCATACACATTTCTATGTTTGGTTAACTTGCTTGGTTTAATTGGCAAGACAAAGTTGTTTGAAGTTGTTTGAAGACAAAGTTGTTCTCAAACCAAAGTAAGTCCCTTCCCTTCTGAAGCCAGTTATTTCAGTGGAAGTATTCTGTTCCTCAAAACTGTCATTTTCAGGGACTAGTAAGAAGGGTTGAGGAGCAGTTACAGTTTTAAGTTAGACTAGCAAAAGATGATCTTGTCTGTTCAGTTTGGCAGAACTAGATGGGGGAGCAAAGTGTCAGTTCAGCAGCTCCCACGGTTAAGAGGGCAGTACCTTCTCAGTGAAGCTGCCATCTCACCTACTATGGCAATGTGGAGTGGAAGAACTCTGCCAGAGGCTTCTGTGGATTACACATCATTGGTGACTGTCACTGAAAAACCTAATTTATGAGGCAGGATAGTGGGCTTTTGCCTTGTTGTATTCGTTTGTAAGTGTTTTAAAATACAGCTAGTGGCTCATATAGCTGGCTTGTTTCACTTAGTTAAATAATACCTCAGTTAGTTAAATAATAAAATCACTTAAATATTGCATAATTTTTTACCGTTGTCTGAAGTACTTTTTCCTCCTATCTTGGCACCGTTAGGATCAAATAATGTATGAAGAACTGCATCAGTCACTGTGCAGGTGATACATCTGGACAATTCCCAAGAGACTTATTCTGCACTGGCGGAGAGTTTTGTAATGCCCACGCCTGGTTTCAAGAGACAAGTTGGAAAGAAGCTGTACTGTCTCAACTTTTATACTGCACCTGAAGATCATCATAACCTACTGCTCTAAACCATCCTTAATTTAACTGTCTCCGGAATAAAAGATATAATACACATCTCCTGCTTATAACCATTTACATTTTTAAAATGAATGCTTTTAGTGCTAAAAAGCTAATGCCATTCTGATATATTTAGTGCCCTGGAATCTCTGAGGCAGAGGCTAATTCTTCCAAGTGTTTGCACTGCTCCAATAGCTGTTTCCCACCATCAATGAAAATTGCTGTGTTTTCCAGAACAAGGACTCTGAAATAATCACTGGGAGGACAGAGCTGTGAAAGTAGAGTGGGAAAGTGCTGCAGTGCATGTTGTCATACCAATAATCCTGCCTTTTCCAACGACAGTGATATGTTATGATTGTGCCAGCACAGGTTCTCAGAGCTCCTAACAGCTTCCCTCTGCCTTATCAAAAGAAACTATCCACAGATGGCAGCCTGTCTCAGAGTTACCTTGGAGAGTGTAAACTTTGGAAATCAGAGAAGTGCTGTGATTTAACCTAAGAAACATTTGAAACAGTTAAGAGTTATTTAACAGTGTGGTTGTTAATTATTTCTCTTAGGCAAATCTGCAACAGCAAAAAAATTCTGTTACAGATTTGAATTTGTTAAGTGTTTGGGTATCCTCTAGAGGAAGGAAAATGATACTGTTTTAAAAAGCAGGCCAAGAGCCTCAATCTTTTTTTTTATTATTATTTTTTGAATACAAGAAATTCTGTCTTGGAAGGAGGGTCCTAACTTTCAGCAAACTGGGAAGTATCCAAGTTAAGACAGAACACTGAAAAATGATGGATACCGAGCAACCAACTTCTGAAACAAGCCTTAATGGATTTTTTTTTACCACCATCATCATTCTACAAAGTTCTTTAATCATTGATCTCAGTTCCTCTGATAAGCCCTCCTCTTCCTAAAAGTACTACAATCAGTCAAGGATCAGAAAAGGAAATGGGTGATTTTTGCTACTAAATTTCATAGAAAGTCTTAAGTTTGATAACATTAAACTTTAAAAATTATTTGAAGTCCTGAAATTTACATGTAAAAAACCCAGTGAAATAGTTTTTGTAAGCAACATCTGATCTGTAAGCATCCCCCCTACTTACTTAAACATTTAAGAGGGAGAAGATAATTTAATCTACACAAATCATAATTCATTTAAACACATAACCTGAACAACCTGGTCTAACTTTAAGGCTGACCTTACTTTTGAGAGGGAATAGTGCCTTTCCTCCTAAATTCTTCTCAGCATTGCTATCTAACAACAGATCTTGCTGCATATTTTTCCCCAAAGGTAGATGTGGAAGGCTATTACACATAACTAATCCCCACAGACTTGCACTTTAAAAATACTGACACTCATGGCAGCTTGAACTTAGCACTGTGATTTTTGCTCAACATGGTGTGACATTCCCTCCCTCTCCTAGGGAAGCTGGAGCCTCAGTGACTCAAATTCTGGCTGCTATGACTAACAAATTAAGTCCCTGTATATAAAGCAGAAGATGACATGTCTGCTTTTAATTGTAGATCCGGCTTGGGGCTTCAGGAATTACTATGATTCCCAGAAACCCAAGATGGAGAATCATTGTTTTCAATCAGTAGCAGGGTTGGAAGGGGATCTCAAGGATCATCTGGTCCAGCCTGTCTTGACAAAAGCACAGTCTAGACAAGATGGCCCAGCACCCTGTCCAGCTGCATCTTACAAGTCCAACATTGGGGAATCTACCACTTTTCCTGAGATTTTTCACACTGAAACCATCAGCTGTTGGAATAGTTTTCCTCATTTCCAATTGGAGGCTCCCCAGGAGTAACTTGCACCCATTACCCCTCCTCTTTTCCATGTGACTCCTTGTAAAAAGAGAATCTCCATCTTCTTTGTAGCCACCCCTGGAACATAGTGGTAAGGTCTCCCGTAAGCTTTCTTATCTCAAGGCTGAACAAACACAGTTTTCTCAGCCTTTGCTAATAATAATCCAAAGGAATCAATGATTTCTCCTTTATGGATATATAGAGAGGATTCCTACTACCATACTTGAGGATAGCTACGGTTGATGAGCTTAGGAAGGAATGAAGTTCTCAAGCCCTGGCCTATTCACTTTAAAATTTTCCTTTACTCTCACAATGGTATTATTCCTGTGTATATATGGAGCAAGAAAGAAGGAAATACTGTTCAAGGAATCATAATAACAATTTAGTCTTGTCAAGAGTTCCAACACAAAACATGTTTAATATTCAAGGTGTCTCATGATCATTCTTCTTTCTTAACAGGTGATAATGGAAGGGGAAGTGGGGTACAGGAGGGTTTGAATTTACAGGAAAACCTGAAGTCAAGTTAAAAGCCAGAAAAGGCCAGATCAGTCAAGTGTCCATATCCTGTTTGCTTGCCTTGCCTGGGCTGTGTGTGCATCAAGGAGCAAAGACTGAACTGTTTGTTCACAGGAGCAGTGCACCCACACTGCTACTTTTTCTTGTGGGAAATTCTGCTTGGGCTATAGTATGTATCACTAAAAAACAATGATCCTTTGTACAGAAGAGATCCTTTGTACACAGAAAATGGGAGCTGCTTTAAGGAACTGAGCCTTTTTACGGAATAGAGACAAATATTTTGTTCTGCATATGCAGCTATCACCCCTCCCAGCAGACATGCCTAGAGGTTCTGCTTCTAGTCATCTTGTTTCTGTTGTGACAAGATCACGGTATTGTTCATCATGCCACTCTCCCCTCCCTTTTCCTGAGGCTAGCAACATATCTAAACCACAATAATGATCTTGTCCCAGAGCAGAGTAGGTGCTAACTTAAGCATGGATAGGGGTTAGAGGTAGTGCAGAGAACTGTCAACAGGAGGAAAAAAAAAAATCTGCCTTCATTCTTGGCTCAATAGGAAACTTTTCCCACACCTTTGTTCTGACTAAAGTCTTGTATACCACTTCAGGCTTCATTGTGAAATAGAAGATTTGCTCCTGAAGAGAACTGTGTGCTGAGTTGCAGGTTACTGTGCTAAAGGCACATGATTTAGCCACACCTATTTATCAGATTTTTCCTAGGATCTTACAAAAGCAACGTTGGCAGACCCAGAAGTGGCTCCTATGCCTTGCAGTGTGAGCTAAAACAGCAGAGCTTGCTTTGCCATAAGTCTTTTGAGACTTTCAAATTACAGAGGAGTACACTTTCCAGAAGCTGTGTCAGGCTACTTAGACAAGATTGCTGTTGGGAAGTGACTTTTCTCCTGCTTGTCCAGCAGGATTAGTATGGCAGCCTGCAGTCTACAACGCTGATGTTTATTGGTTGTTGAACTTCATCATTAAATAAGGAATGAACAGCTTTAAGCTCTCCTGTGACATGCCTCTTCATGTGATACAGGGAGTAAAAGTCAAGGAGGCAGAGGTGAATCACTGACCTCATAGTCTGACAGTGGCCACTTACCTAGAACAGATACATTTTGCAACACTTGCAAACTTTCATGTGTGTGTTATGTGCTCACCAGCTACAAAGACATCACCAGAAGAATTCTGAGACACACAACTGAAAGTCTTAACTAGTTTTCAACTGACCTCTAGTGCCAGGTGGGAAGTCTTGCCAGGGATCTGAAAGCACAGAGATCTGCAGCCAGAAAGATGCGCCCATTTCGGGGAGCAGACAGGTTCAACAGCCAAACAAGAATGCCAGAGGCAAGACTTGTTTTGAAAGGAGGATATACCCACGCCTGTCCTATGGGAAAACTAATGCCTAGTACAATTAGATTCCAGGACGCACAACTTATTCCACTTATGCAACTTCAAATAATTGGGGGCAGGGAGTGTTAAAAGCTATGCAAGGAAGTTTCCTCTGAAAACTGCAAGTTACTCTGAAAGCCCTAAAGGGGATTCAGGGCTCTGCCCAATTTAACTGCAGGTAAAATACTCGGATGGCAGTTGAACTCCTGGCCGATTTCACATAAAGGAGATGTTTGCCAAACTGAGATGCTTTAGTTACACAGAAAGGAACAAACCCTAACAGGCAAGTAGAAACAAAGTTAACTCATTCCATCTGAATAGATTTAGAAAAAATTGGGTTAACTGTCAGGGTTCTTACTGCTCTTTAGGTTTCATTTGTTCTTCATCGGTTAGTCAGGGCTCCCTCCAACTTTTAGATAAAATGTTTCAAAAATTATACTAACCCGTTTCTGCCATATCTATTTTAATTGTATTAATGAAGACTATTTATTTCCTTAAAAAACAATAACTAATGATGTATGTATATTTAAAAAAAAATCTTAGTGTTTCTTAGTTCTGTGCCATGGCATTGGAGTAAACCCCACATTTAAGTATGACTGGATGAAACCAGTTGTACATTTAGAATATATCAAACACAAATCAAGTAGCCCAGCTGTTCTTAATTACTTTCACCAGTGGTTCAGAAGTGCCTCTAACTCTGTGTTTTAGGGATGAAACTATGCTGCCCTGTAGGTTCACTTTCAGATGATCTGCTTTTGGCAAAACCCTGACTATTGAAGTTGGATGCCAAGGCCTCTTGCATATTACACAGGAATTATATGCCTAAGAATGGTATTTACCAATGCTTGCAAGAATTGGACCATCGTTTAGATCCAAATTTAAGTCTTACTGGCTCAGATTAACCTAATCCAGTAAGTGTTCTCCAAGAGGTAGCCATTGGCAGATGTTTCAGAAAGATTATGGCAAGCATAGATATCTCCCTCAGAATTCCCCACTATTCTGCACCTCTTGAAGTGAAAAACTGTGTTTATAATGGGAGTTGGAAAAGAATAGCCAGAACACCTTAAAGCAACATTTGCAATTTTAAACAAGAGACATGGCAACTTCAGTCCTGATTAAAAGCAGGAATTTACACTTGCACTACCCATTGGGGGGACAGAAAGTGATTCCACAACATAGGTAACTAAGTAGCTATAAAATTTTGACTCTGAACTCTGGTTATCTAAAGTATTCATGTAGGATAGCTGAATTTCTTAACTTTAGCTCTTAGCCATAAAAATTTCGGAGACGCTTTCCATCCTTCATCCACCTATGATAATTCCTCAACAGAGATAATCTCACCCTTTTCTTCTTAAATTAAGTGGCTTAAAAAGAAACCGGTTTGCAACTTGTTAAACCTATACAAGTATTTCAACCAAAGTCAGTTTTCCTGAGGAAAGGCAGCAATTCTTTATAGTTCATCTATACCACCACTCAATAAAACAGGTCTTGAATCTGCTTTAAAAATACCAAATTTCTCTAAAGCTTAAGTCTTTCAGCATAAGGGGACCAATCAAAAATTCACCCAATATTACTTTAATCTTTGCTTTTTAATTACATGTAAAAATACCGGACAACATATATTTTGACATTACACTCTACCCTGAGCAATATGCTGGCTATCTCTCATGTTCCTGGCACAATGAAGTCACTTTGGAAGTGGTTGGCATACTTTCATTCCATTTCTATTGCTTAGCCACAGGCAAGGGCCCATAAACAAAACACACATTAAGAACAGGACCACAATCGAACAGAGATTAAGATGTACCAACACATTCTTTTCAAGCACTCACCTTCTTCAAAAAAAACAAACAAACAAAAAAAACAAGCCACAAAACCCAAACCAAACAAAAACCACAAAAAACCAACAAAAACAGAAAACAAACAAACAAACCCCCCCACCAAACAAAACCCCCCCCAAAAATCCTCACAAAAAACAAACACCCTAAAAAACCCACACCAAAATGCAAGAGTTGAAGGCATCTAAAATTAAGTTACTTGCAGCAGACCAGCGGCTACAAATTCCACCTTCTTCAGATTCCATCTTTCAGGTTAGTGAAGAACATACCACAGAATGACCATTTGAGATTTAAGGGTGATTTGTAGCCACCTTTAACTGTTTAAAGCCATCATCAATGCATTAGATGGTAGAAGGCAAATCTACTGTGCTGAGGTATGGAGAGATTCTTCGGTTTTCAGCAAGGCTATCCATTCTCTGTTCCCAATTAAAAACTTCTTAAGCAGGGAATTTGATATCACCACTTCTCACCACATTTTAATATGTAAGAAAGACAAGTATTTATGAAGGGTACTGTAGGTTTATGAGGAAAAAACCAAACAAGATTATTTAACAACCATAAATTACTAATATGCTCAATAAGTAAAACTGTCAGTGGTTGTAGCAAGCCTTGTTTGCCAGAACAATATCAGTTTCAATCTATTCCATTTTCCATACAAGCCAGATTTCCAAATGAGTGTAAATATTTATGGCATTTAAAACCATGGTAACATGGTAATCATTTTTCTTCGAAGATGAGAAAAACCTCAAACTGTAACAATTTTTCCAATGTGAAAACCCAAATCAGTTATTTTAAGTTTCCTAAATGCCACCTGCTCACACTATATGCCAACATAAGCAGCTCAGGCAGTAAGGGGGACCACAGAGTTGGCAATACCCTTGAATTCCCCACTTTTTTTTTTTTTTCAACAAAGAAGTCACAGAAGCCATCTCGAGGATACTGGTTTCATTCTGACAGATTGCTCCTTTAAGGTACTTTAAGTAGAAAAGCTAAAACTTTAAAGCAATGCTTCAAATGACATATTACATATTCAAACAAAAGCAGACTTAACATTTCTGTGCAAATTTAGCTCTTCCAACCATAAGTTTGGAAACATTTTCAACAGAAGGTTTAAGTTAACAAATTATGTTAGTTCAGAATTAACAGGTAAGTACAGCCTTTTAAAACTACAGTCATCTAAACAGCATGTTGAGGGCAGTATAGTACATTGGGAACTTTTAAAATATTATGAGTCAGACATATTTTATATCGATTTAACACCTACCAAAGTAAATCCTGTAACAAAGTGATTTTGCATTATGCATATAACACTGATCCTTAGGCAAACAGAGATACATTAAACCAACAATTCTGAGGACTGTGAGGAATGTTATAGCTGGTAGGAGTCTGCTACAAAGTCCTTAAGGATGCATTGCTATGTTGCTGTACATCTTAATTCAGGACACAGGTGAACAGCTTTAGCAAGAGACCTTTATACCAGCCACTTTAAAGCAAGCAGACATTTCAAAGTTTTTTGGTTGCCAGAAGTTTACTCTTGCTTCACTTCACCCTTTAATTGCCTTTTCATGCGTGAATATGGGCTGATTGTGTCATCCATCACGAAGTCATATAGTACTTTTATCCAAGAGTTATATTGTGGCAGGTTGTCATAGTATTCAGCCGCTATTTTCTTCACCTGAAGAAGAGATATGACGTTTATTTACCAGTTATATTAGCACAAATTCCGACAACTTTGCAAATTGTAACCTCGATGTGTAACCTAATGCACAGCGCTTTCATTTCAGATGTCAGATGATACAGGAAGGGCCACAAGTGCCACAGTGTGAACGTTTCTTGAAGGAAAAAGCAATTCCCTAGTTGTTACGTAAACTTCACGTGCAGCTTTTGAAGATATCCAGAACAAACTCCTCTGGCACTCCAAAGTCTGTTCACTGTGCTACTCACAGGATGATAAAGCTCTCAAAAACAAGTGGTTTTGTTGCTATTGAAAGGGGATGACTCACTTCAGTGCTGACTCATAGGTATATGAGTACCAGTAAAAAAGGATGTTATGAGTTCTAGGAAGAGATCTTTAACACAGCTATTCTTACATATAGTTTCAAACCTCAGCATTCAGAAGAAAAAAAAAATTCTATTTCAGAGGAACCTTTATGGAGACAGACTTTAAAGAATGAATATAAACTGCTTCCAAAGACTGTTCTCAGCTGTACATGCTGACTTAACCACTATTTTAAACTGAGAGCAGCAGGTTCAGTTAGGTGTCCTTACTGATATTTTAGGCCAAGCACCTGAAGCCTTAAAAACCTGAACAGAACAAAAAAAGGATTTCCCACAAAATTCCATAGCTTTAGTCAGAACAATAATATTAATCTGTGTAAGCAACAAACAAACCCAAGGTATTTACATGCCTAGTTTGAAGCCAAAGATCCTTTGGATCTGTCATCACACCTATAGAATACTGTATCTATACTTTTATTCGACAGTAACACTCCTCAGCTCACTAGTGCTGAGGAATCAAGTGTTCAGGACTTCAGGGATCTTAGCACACAGCATAGCAGAGTCCAGTCCAATCAGATTCACTACACTGTTCTAAAAGAAGGCTTTGTTTTCTTATCAGAGCTGTGGATTACAAGTCCTGCAGCAGAACTGGGTATTTACCCCTGGAATTAAATACTTGAAAAAATTCGTGCCTATTTATAGCTGAAGTACCTCTGCAAGAAGTGGAATTCTGGTTCACCAGCACAGACCTAAGTATAAAAGATGACTTAAAGCAACTTTTGCTGTGTTTGAAAGATGAAATCTATGAATAAGAGCAATCATCTGTCATTAAAAACAAGAAACACACAAAACCTCAAACCAATTACATGATCTACCTGCCCTGCTAAAAGTGCTGGCATACTTCTTTCACCTACAGTTCCACCACTGACAACAGAAATAAAAAGTTTAGACTCCACCAAAGGGGCAAGCTCATAAGGTCTTACTATTGCCAAGTGCAATAACAAAGCTACAAGACCAACACCACAGCTGCTGTCCAATTGCAAATTTAATGTCCCCTGAAGCTTGTGCTCCAATTGGGAAACACATATACAATGAGAACAAAACTCCTGCCTTTAAGAAACAAAGACTGAAATGAGAAGAAACTTCACCTCTGCTACTCATGCAGACATGACAGGTCTAAGTCATGGCACAGAAGCCTTAATTCTGTCAATGATACTTATTATTCTGTCAGCTGATACTTATTTAGGGTTCAAAGGCTCTTACCAGAGGGAACTGAGGTGCTCCAGACCGGAAAGTTATTAAACATTTGTCAACAGTACAACAAACATTAACATAATCTCAAACCCTCTCCTTTTCCCCCCGCAGAGAATGTCACTGATAGGAAAAACTGAAGGATAAGTACACATTACAACACTGTCCTTAAGACTGCAGAGACAACAAATATCCAAAGTTATTTGCAACTTCTTAACTAGCTTTCTGCATATTTACAAACCGAAGAAATCAGAAGACAGGTTGTAATTACAGGAAGCTAAAGTTAGTGAAAAGCATAAGACATGCTTTTCCTCCCCTCTCCTTTTATGGAAGAGGCAGTCAGCACACTGGAAGCTTATTGAAGATACCACTAAAATGCTAAGTAATTACCTCCTTTATCACTCATGTTGTGTTTTTTCTTTGGTTATTTGTTGTTTTGTTTGGGGTTTTTTTATCTCCCAACTTCTATTCTTCTGTCAGTGTTCTACCTAATTTTCAAGTTAAAGTAGAGCTTAATTTAAGAAAAACCTTGGAAGTAAACTTACCAATGGAAGGCTCTTGCCAGGAATATTGGGGAAGTCATGATGTTCGTTGTGATAGCCAACATTAAAAGTGAGCAAATTAAGTGGCCCATAGTAGGAATAGGTCTCATGTCCTTTTAAAAACATGTAATGTTCAGCTATGAAGTGTCCTGAAATTGGGTGCAACCCAAGTCCAAGTACTGAACCAGCAAGCATGTAAAAAATGGATTTGACTCCCCATAAATAATAGATCACAACATCAAAGGAAAGCTGAGCCAACAAATTGATTACTTCAAGTCGAGTAATGGGTTTGGGATTGATGCAGAGTGGTCTAATTGCATAGAAAAAAGGCTGTAGAACAATCCACATGAACTTCCTAAATGGGGTGCAGAAAAACCAGCCTTCGAAGTTGGTAGGAATGTCCACATCAATTCCATCACCTCCCAAGTAACGATGATGATCCATGTGGTATCTCTTGAAGGATATGGAGTATGGGAGACCAAGAGGGAGGTTGGCAAATATTCCAAACCATCGATTCCACATGGCTTTGCTGTTGCCAAAGGCACTATTGTGAGAGATCTCATGAATAGCCAGAGTCATGGAGTGGCTAATACAGCTTCCAAACACGTATGCCCAGAAGACTACCCATTTCCAGTCCAAGTCTTTAACTAGATAAAATGCAGTCAACTGCGCCAGAACCATCAGCACAACCACCCAGATCAGGTTGTAGTCTGGTTTCATCAATGCTTTTATCTCTGGATGTTTAGCTAGATGAGAAAGAAAAAGGAGTTACTTCGAAGCTCTCCTCACAGCCAACTACCCCAACTAGATTACAACAGCACATAGAGCCTTTCCTTCCCTTCTTCCCAATTAGGAATTGTCTGCAAAGGTAATGAAAACGCATGACCTTTCCACTTGTGATATTTGCTGCTATAATGAATCACTCGGAATCAAGTCATTTTAACACTTTCACGTTGCTCAGCAACTAGACACGTACACGGCAAGCACCAGTGTCACCTCCAGCCTACCCAGGAAGGAAATGGCTCTGAACCGAATAACCCACCCGCGATTCAGAAGGGCTGCAATGAGCTCAGCCCCGCATTAAGCGCGGCACTGGAGGACGCCGTTATCCCCCCCCGTGAGCGCGGGGTGTCACCTCCGTGCTGACACCGCCTGACCGCTCGCAGGGCTCCGCGGGGCGGCCCCTCGGGAGACAACCCCGGCCGCCGCCCTCCCCCTCCCTCCTTCCCCCGCTCCTTCCCTTCCCCTCCCCCGCCAGCGCCGCCAAGGCGGCAGCTCCCGCCTCCACGTACGCGGGCCCGGCCCAGCTCCGGCCGCTCCGTTCTTCCCGCCGGGAGCCCCCCGCGGGCCCCGCCGCCCCCCGGCGCGGGCGGCCATTTTGTGGGGTGCCCGTGTGTGCCCCCCCTCCCGCTCCGCCACGTAGCCGGCGGCAAGACCCGGCGGCAAGACGCGGCGGCACCGCGACTCCTCACCCAAGATCTCCTTGCGGCGGTCGGCGTGGGGCTGGTCCGTGTAGACCCACTCGAAATCCTCTCTGGCCACGGTGTTCCCCATGGCGGCAGCGATGCACCCCCTCACACCCGCCCGTCACGCCCGCTCCGCGACGCCCCCGGCACCGCACTTTATAGCGCCGCGGAGGTGGCTCGCGGACACGCCCCCCGCCCCGCCCTCGCCCCCCATTGGCCGCCGCCCGCTGTCAGGCGCGCTCCCGACGGGGAGGCGCCCCCTGCTGGTGCCCTGAGGGGCCGGGTGGGGCTCCCTCAGCCCGCGGGAGCGACCCCTCACAGCGGCACCGCCGGGAAGGGAAGGAGGTTGTGAGGAACAGCCGTCATCTGTCCAAAATCTGTACTGCTGTCGTGGTTTAACCCCGTGCTTAAAGACCCCTGCCTAAAGGTATTTAATTACTACTCAAAACGCCTGCGCCAAGGTCTCTTTCTGTGGTAAGATATTCTAAGAACTTCACTGACAAATTCCTCTGTAAGAACTGACCTTCATTTAATCCGTCCCTGCGTGTATTTCTCACATAATGTTGACTTCGGGAAGTTCAGTTACAAAGAGTATTTAATATAGAAGTTGCATGACTACTTGCTTGGGATTTCACTTGTCCACCCAAAATAATCTAAATCAGTAGATTGAAAATCCACTCAAAATACTCTACATGAGTAATAATGACAAAAACAGCAGAGAAAGTTATCACAAATTAAATTACACCTTATCTGTTAATGTACTATTAGTATCTCAAGATTTATGTTGCATCACTTAAAATTTATTTGTAATAATTAATAAAAAGGGCTAATGCGTACTGGCTGCTAAAAGCCCCATGTGCAAGTGGGCTCATGAAGGGGAAATACAATCCCTACTTGACAATATTTGCAATCTAAATAATGTACAAAGCACAGGATCCAAGAAACATAACACCTTTGTGAATAGTTTTGTTTGCACGCATTTTTAACCTGTGCATATTAGGATGGGAATTAGAAGGGAAAAACGGAGTAAGTGGATGAGACATGGAAAAGTTCGTGCACAGCTTTTCCCTCCTTAGCCACAGGATCTGAATTCTGCAGACTCCTTGAGGACTGGTGCAGTGTAGGAGGCAAACCAGATGTTTAGATTTCATCCAGGCACTGTGACCTTGCAAGGTTTACTTCTCGGTCAGTGACCGTTTCACAATAAACCAGGAAGAGCCTTTGAGCTGCCCGTGCAGAATTGCCAGGGTCACCCGTGTTCCACTCAGCTGCACTCCAAACACCATGAGTAACATTTCTGAAAGTGTTCCCTTCTTGTAGTTCAAATATTAGCACTGCTATCCATCACTGCGCTAAAGACCTTCTCACCCTTGGGAAGGATCCTGCCAAGAGGAGGAATGTGTCAGCTGATGAGAGAGGTTGCAGCTCGGCCAACAGGAGCATTGGGGGAGGCAGGTTTACAGCACTGCAAACGCATGTAGGTTTGTAAATGGTCACAGATTTCAGTAGGGCCACTAAATAGAAGAGCCCGGATTTATAAACTACACATTCCAGAACAGCTAAACAAGGCTTAAAAGACTAAGAAAAATATTAAACAGGAAAGTTTTGGAAAATTTAATTGCCAAAGTGTATTGGAGAGCAAAGTGTCTTTCCTATTTACTCACTGGGTCTTTCTGCTTTAAACAGTCTGTGTAACAAATCCAGATTTATTAGGTCTTCAGCAAGCTAACAGTTTTTCTGACATTTTCCTTTCCAAAGACAAAGACATCCAGTATCTAGTGTGCCTTCAGCTGGCACAAAGCTAGAACAAAAATCCTAGAATGTTCAGTTACATGTAAACCAAAGGCAGCAGTGCATCCCTGCCCAATGAGGAAGGTGAGATCCAGGAAGGACAACTGCAAGAGCAGAGAGCACATGGAGAAGCAAGCTGGTCCAGGTATGGTGAAAAGCAGCACAGGAATGCAATTGGAGAGTATCAGAACAGTTGACACCTAGCAGACATGTTGCTGTAAAATAGTCCAAACCGAATTAACTCATGAATGAAATAACAATCTACCACTGTCATTTGCCAGTTACCTTCTTAATACCACCAGGAACACCAAGAAACCAGGCCGCCGTCTCCTGTCTCACGACACATTCGACTACATCCTACGTCATCCTGTTTCCAAGAAGCTCTTAATGTTGAAAATTCTTTAGGCAATCTTAGTGCTCCCCCTTTGATCTCAGTGAAAGCAACTAAGTTTCTGTTCAGTTCTGTCGTACCTTTTATGTTAAGAAATTATTCACAGGCATCCTTGTAACATTAATGAACTTCAGTGATTAATGTGCGATGCTGAGCAAATATCAGGAATTGAAGAAGTTCCATTTGTTTCTACCTGTTCTTTATTCTGTGAAATTTATCTTGTTAAGCAGGTAGTCTTTCCTCCTTCCACCTATGACATCCATTAGCCCTTGCTTGGAAGGTGCTTGCATATTCCTTTTACATACAAGCTGTTCCATTTGGGAAGCAAGACCTGGTTGCAAACAGCTTTTCCCTCAAAAAAGCATTTCTGATCCCATTTTCGCCATGTTCACTAGATACAAAAATTTGTAAAAAAAGAGTCTCCAACCCTACTATGACAAAAAAAGTTTTCAAGGCAAGCTGCTATTTTTAGAAAAGTAGGAAAACCGGCCTTAGTAGTTTTAAGTTATTTTAAGAAGCTAACTATAAAAGACACAATTGCTTTCCCCGTCAACCCTCAGTTTCAGCCCTTGATACAAGTACTAAAGCTGAACAGTGGCTGCAAATAAAACAATTTTTCATGTAATTTTGTAAACTACACCTGCCTTTCACAGATTATACAGTCACTAACCACTACAGACATTACACTTCTCCAGGCCGATGCACCCACTCATGTAAAGGTGCACAGACATTTAGAATGAAAAGTGATTTAGTTTTTACTCCAGGCAATTTATCAGCATGTTGCAAATGCATACTTTCTATTTAATAAGGGACAATACGGTGTCAGAAATTAACGCTGCAGCTATTTTCTCCAAACTATTACTTCATCCTGTTTTCTCCATTCTGTCTGTGCCAGCGGTGTATATTCCAGAGGGAGAGCCATATGATGCCTCCCTCCCTGGGAAGTGAAACACAAAACATTGGTGTGCCTTTGCCATGGCATTTCCAGAGCTGCCTTGTAACCATCTGTGACAGATCTGTTACGTTTCGGGGGCCTCGTTCCATTCTACTGTGCTCATCAGCACGTGGATAATCAGGATGCACCTGCAAACTCGGAGCACGTGACACTTCCTTGAGTCGAAGGTTCCAAGTAGGCACTTGGCACATTCACAGAGAACATTTCATGTACCAATAAGCTGTTGCTGTTTCCAGCTCAGTTTACGCAGAGCTAGAGATTCCCCGACACATAAATAAATGTTACTCCTGAGTAACCTGAAACTATTCGTATATTGTGAAGGGGGTGGAGGGAAATTGTTTGCATATTCTAGAAATTAATAAAGAAACTAAGGTGAAAGATATTCAGAGATGTATGAATAAACCTTTTCAGTAAATGCAACTCACAGGTTTATACTTGTTTGGAAGTATTTCACCACAAATAGCTGGTAAACAGTCCATTACAGGAATTTTTCATCATGAATAACCATTAAACGAATTTGTATCACACAGTAATTATAGCTGTCATGCTGACCCTTTGATTCAAAATTATTTTTTAAAGTATATGCCAGTATTTTTAACCTGAAGAGCAGGTAACTATCTTAAAGAGATTCTTAATGGTAAAAAAAATTCTGAGCTGTAGAAAACCAGTACCAGCCAATGCTCCTTTAATAGTTTAAGTCTTCCCTCAGATAACCTTTTATAATTTCCTTGACGCTTAAGAAAAAATGCCTTTTTTAAAAAAGGCTCAAACTATTCAAGAAGTTTATTTGAATACTAAATGTCTGCGAAACGTTAGGCATTTGCAACGCTACTCCTGCTATGAGCCAATATGTTTTAGAAGTAAAAACTGTAGCTGAAAATCAGGAAAAACATCCATTTTCTGTGATTATGTAACATTTGACCAGACAATTTCTGATTTGTTTGTTTGGTGCTTTAAGTACAGTCACTGTGTTATGCTGACAGCTGTACAAAATGAAAGAGAAACTTGCACTTTAACCCATAGTATTGAGATTGTGAACAGCTACAAATGCAGCATTTGCATCCTCCGTGCCATCCCAAGTTGAATTCAGAACCACCTAAACCCAAAGCAGCAGCTAGTTTAAAAAAAGAAAACATAAGTCAAATGATAAAGCTACATAGTTTAGTACATTAAAACAAAACCAAGGACAATGGTATTTGTATAAGTTTCCAAAAATATACAGATGGGGAGGGGAATAATCACTGTACACAACTCTGAGGTGGTTAAAGTGACCAGAGAGACTGAACAGTGCAAGACATGCTTTTCCAGTTACAAGCTCAAAACAGAAGTGCAAAAGAAATTAAAGCTTTGTCTGAAGTTATTTACCTTTTAGGATAAGGAAAGCTTAGAATATTGTCATCAGTGTTACAGAGAAATTTCCACCTCAACCCCAACACAGACACACAAAATAGTTTCAGTTTTCCCACAAAACAGCATTTCACTCAAATGTTGTCCCCCAAGCTTGGCGAGCGTAGGGACAATTTGTCTGATCCGTGTTAGACGTTGGCCTATGAACCAAGTGAAGGCCTCTTCTCAGCTCTCCAGCTTTGGCCAACAATACCTGCCTTACAGGCAGGGTTCAAACTCTCCTGCCACTCACCTCCTAACACCACCTCACTGTAAAACAGCAGCTGTGCTGAAAGCAGATGCTAAGTTATGGCTGAGGAACAAAGAAATTGCTTTACAGGTCTCTGTGCTCTCTCCCAGAGTCTGGAACAATTTCAGGCAAGTGCTTTTGGCAGGCTGACTAAGCTGTACATGCATCTATCCATGCAAATGTAAAATATGGCTCCCAAGACCTAGAACCAGAGTGTGTGCATGTGAAGACTGGATAGAAGGCCCTTCCTTGTAAGTTTACAAAAATATATAGCCAATACTGTAGCTTAAGAAGTCAGTTTTACTCATTACAGAGAACCCCAAAAAGTATTAACTACTTTTCAGACATTCCAGACAAGGTCACTTGTAACGAAAAAGGTCAAGTTCTCAAAAACAAGATTTTAAAAGTGGATCT